GTTTCTGCAGCCACAATTTCAAATTCCTAGAATATCCCACCAATTGCCAACAGGCAGCAACAGGAAGTGGGGAACCAAAAGAAAGAAAGTGCATCATCTACAGCCAACAACAGTCCAACCTCCCATACATCACAATATACAAAATCATACGCACAACCATACACAGCCCAACACTTCATACATCACAATCTATACTTTCTGTTTGGCTAGTTTTGCTTTAAATTTCGAGTTCACTGTGAATTCTCAATGATTCACACTTTAGTAAATAACCCTGATAGAGAGAGTTTAACTCTCTGAAGGTGCCATTTTTTATTTATCCTCTAGATGGAACCATAACGTGCTCTGTATTATTTTCTGCAGTACAAGGTAAAACAAGTCATTGATCTGTTTTAGAAGCCTTTTGTCTGCGCTTGGCATGGAATTATAGCAATGCTTCCATTGCATCCCTAAAGATAAATAAGCTGTAACCTACTAACCATTGGTAAGATCTACAATGTTTTTACAGAATACATTTTTTATAAAGAAAATTAATATTGCAGCCAAAAAGTCAATGTAAACGGCACTCCATATGACACTTTTTCAATTTTCTCCCTGTGTGGAAATGTTTATTTTCAGGGAGTGCACCTGGCTCACCTTTTCATGGTTCTTTTAACGTTTATAGAATGTGTATTTCTCCAAAGTAAAGATATCATGAAGCTTTGCTTTTGTGTTCCAAGTGAGACTTACCCATTGTAGACGTTTTGTTTCCTTTTTTTTTTTACTGCTTTTAGAAATGTCAGCATTCAAACCTGTTTAGACTTATTAACTGTAACATACACTGTACCTTAGAACAGTGTGTTATTTCACTGTACAATATTGCATACCTTTAACATGTTTAGAAAACAATTGTTAGTTACAGTATTTTACACACACATATATATAGCAGAAATGACCGCAAAAATTTAGCTTTTATTCAATCCATTTAAAAAGTCAACGTTTCAGCTCCCACATGGAGCTTTCATCAGGACAAAACATATATATTGTCTTATTTTCTCTTATATTGGTAATGTTATACCAGTTTGTGCTTGTTGGGTTTTTTTTTGTGTATCTTTTTTTTCATAGCGGTTACCTAATGTATGTAGTTACCTAGTGTATGATAAATCATCTGTGTCACTTATGAGTTTTTTGCTTTGAATGTAAATAAAACACACAAAATAGCTCACAATAATAATATACTTCACTTATAATCAATTTAAATAAAATTACAATAGGGCCATGGACCCTGCAGGTTTAGGACAGCGAATGGCTACCTATGAGGCAAGGTTTGAAGAGCAGGATCACCAGATGGACGTGATGGCCCAGGCTCTTCAGACACTCTTGTCCAGTGTCAAGCTATACACATTGAGAACATTCCCTAATTCTGGATGGATAAAATCCAAACATACAAGTGTAAACGCTTAGTGAATAATCATACATACAGAATAAGGTGGAGTTTCCTCTTATTATAATAGCTGATATCAGCAGGTATACCTAAAAATAAAACAGAATAGAACACATAATAGTGCAATAACGCCTGTATACAATTTTGGAGTTCGACAAATAGATGAAATATCACTCACAAAAAAAGAGCCTGTAAGTAAGGCTCAAATATCCAGCTTTGTGGGATGTCAAGGTTCCCACTCCCTTCTTTATACTGCCAGAACATTTCAAATGATGATGTATCCTCTCAAAGGTGAGTGTAAAGATAAGGTGCCTTATTATAAGTGCACAAGTAATAGTGAACAAAATAAAATCAAAACTTTACAGTTGGAAGGTTAGTCTTTTAGAATAGTCCTTTGCATTGAAAAACGTGTTTCGCCTCGTATCAGAGGCTTCCTCGGTTGCTGATGTCCTGCTGGTCATGAATGTCCTTTTAAATAATCCATATTTGGCGCTTACTTACTGCCGTCAGTTCATGCGTTCAAGTGGTATTTCCGCTTCCGGGTTTCGCGTTTCCATCAGTGGAACGCATGTATCGACAGAATGCATATTTCCATTTGCATTCCACTGTGTATTCACAATGTATTAGTCTCTTTCACAGCTTAAGACCATCCATAATGGATATAATATAAATAGATCAAATGTTTAGTATATAAAGGGAACAGATATATCAGTCTCTTGTACAGCATTAGGCAATTCATAAATAGATCAAATGATAGGGAATATTCAGTGTATAAAAACAGAGCAAATATTCAATAATGTTATTGATAAAAAAAATAGAGAATAAAAATACTGAATGATACAATATCGTAATATTAAACCAAATGAAATATCATAATAAGATAGCATAGGTGAACAAATAGTTCATATTAAAATAGATAATGTGGTACACCGTATTCAACTATTTTAAAATCATTATAGTAATCCAGATTTTAACCAGAAAAGGGGTCTATTGTGCATAATTACAATGAAAGAAGAGAAGAAAGTATATAAAAATACTACTATATAAAACGTTGAAAGGTAAAATAAGGGTCCTCTTATTAAAACTTGTATAAAAAACATTATTAATATAAAAACTATTTAAAGGTGGCAAACCTCAAAATCAGAATTTAAACCATGGGGAATCAAAGTTTTAAAATTATAAATAAAGCGCATTTCTTCTTTGCCCAATGTTTTAATATAATTACCCCCTCGCCAGTCTCTTTTTACTTCCTTTATTGCACAAAAAAACAGTTTTCCGGATTTTGGTTATGAATCTGTTTAAAATGTAAGGACACACTGAGGGTTTCTAAACCATTTCTAATGTTACGGACGTGTTCAGCAATCCTAACTTTCAAAGGTCAAATGGTCCTTACTACATATATGAGATTGCAGGGGCATTTCAGGATGTATATAATGTCCTTTGTGTGACAGGTTAGGTGATCTTTAATACTATAAGGCTTATGAATTATATGTTCTATATTTTCTAAATGTCTCTTCTTACTTTTAGTGGTTTTGCATGGGAGGCATATACCACACCCATAAAAACCTTTTAAATATTGAATGAAATGCTTTGTTTTTTGGGGGGTTAAATGACTTTTAACTAAAATACTCTTAACATTTTTTGCTCCTCTGTATGTGATTTTGGGTTTGGAAGGTAAAATTTTATTTAAAATCCGATCGTCCTTCAGTAGGTGCCAATGTTTTTTAATAGTTTTTTGTATACGTCTGTTTAGTCCATGCTTAGTGAATAACCCCCTGAAGAAGTAATCAGGAGTAGCACTGTTCTTGTTATTTGTTGTATTAAGAGTTCACGGTGCTTCATCCATCTTCCCAGTGGTGGTCTGTAGAATAGGGGAGCCAATTATTTAGGATCAACATTTCAATGTATCCAACTAGCAGAGTTCTTGCTGTATCCAATCAAGTGCCTTGACAAGTAGATATAGTGTAATACTGTCAATTTATTAAATTCCCGAAATCCCTTACCATCCATGGAACTCTTACACAATATCACTGTAGTTGTTGCCTCCAAAAATAAAAAGCGCACAGAACAGCAGTGTTCAAGGATCTGCCCCGCTGATACGCTCCAGTACAGCAGTCTCCTGTGCAGTAGCCGAGATGAGTGATTCTATAGTCAGAAGAAAGCAGCAGCTACACACCCTGCTGAATATCTTTTACTCGTTTATATGTACGTGGGACACTCTCCACATCAACGCATTCTGCCCGCTAACTGCGGGTTTATCAAGATTTATTTCTTATTTTCTCTTATATTGGTAATGTTTTACCAGTTTGTGCTAGTTTTGTTTGTTTTTGTGTAACTTTATTTTTCACAGTACCTAATGTATGTAGTTACCTAATGTATGATACATTATCTGTGTCACTTGTGAGTGTTTCTCTTTGAATGTGTTTGATGACGGCACTTGTTTATGTATAAAATATGTGTAAACAACTGGGTACGACATTTTTTATTTTTTACTAATATATTTTAGTATAATATTTTTCACATATTATGTATTCTTTAAGACCATTTGTTATGACTATGATAATCTTTGGTATATTTTATACAATTTGTATTTATCATACCATGGATATGGTGAATAGCTTTTCTCTCGATTATTATCCCCTTTTTTCTTAAATACACATTTTTCCAGTATACTATTATCTTATCTCATATTATTACTTATATCAATTATGGGTGACCTATAATGAGAGATTGATTTCCCCTTTTGACATATACGCCTCTGTTTAAGAATTTAAATATCTGTTACTATTTTTCTATATTCAAATATTAGATCGTTCCGAACACTGAACTGCCAATAGTAGTTTCAGTGTATTTGGAACGCACGTTACCAAAGAGATGGAACGCACACGGTGTTCAGGTCTTTTGACCGGAACCGGAAACACTGCGTGGAACGCATCTGCCGCCCTGTGGAACGCAAACCGAACAAGCTTGGCGAAAATGCGGGAAAATCAATTGGCAATAGAAATCAATTGAAGGAATAAGCCACAGGGACCTGTGAGGAGAGCTTGTTCCCTTCACAACGAATCAGACTCCATCAAACTCAGCTGGAGGATTCTCCAATCAACTTCTCTGGATCAGCACTATTTAAATGGCACTTGGGGAGGGATGGGATTATGCATGTTTGATTTTTACTCATTGCTGCTTATTGATGTCGCTGAAGAAGTCCATTTGTGGTGGATGAAACTTGTTAGATATTTTATAATTTTTGTTTATTATACTTTGTTTTTAATATATTTTTACATTGGGCGATTGGTGCCTAATAAAAAGCTATTTAACTTTCACTTGATTCCTGACTCCGTCCAAGTTCCTGCGACTGCTGAGTATCCAGCAGATCCAGTGTGGGGACCACTGCAGCCCTATTTTGGGCCTTAAGGCGCTGCTTGAATTTACATCTTAATCTAGCTGTATCCCAGTTTTTGTATACATTACGGTGCCACATTGGCATTTCCTAGTAGACAAATGGACAGTAGGGCCCAGTCCCTGATGTCAACAAGGTCTAGTGGGGTGAATTGAGAGGGCATCATCTACCAGAAGTAGTACCTTAACCAAAGGTCCGCAAGTCATGACCAATCATGGCCAGGGAGATAGACACTGTAGAGTCGTACTCGAAGAAGTGGATGAACTGGGTCAAGTGATCAGGGACCACTCTTTTTTCTTTAGATAGTTGTGGGAGATGTACCACCACTACAGCATTAATCATAGCCTGCAAATGTTGGTCTTGAGGTGGTGAATCGTCCATGATTGTGTGGTTAAAAGGAAGTAGCCATATAGAGAAGAGAGGCATCGGGTGAGGACAACAAACCAAAGCCCTGCAATAACAAGTAATAACAGTTAGGGGCAGTAGTAGCTCAATGCAAGTGTAACTGGGGCTCACCCAGAATATGTGGGTATGCGCAGGCAATTATTTAGGTTCATCCAGGTTGTAGGAGATAATAGGAACAGACAGAGGAGGGCAAATATCAGTGATAGGTGGCAAACAGCAGTTGTGTGAGGCTCACCCCAAAAGCTTGTAATGCATTCCCAGGCAAGGGATATATGCAGTTATAATAATATTTAGCTGTAGAGCACAATGGGGTCTCACCCCAATCCGAGTGTGTAAATATAGCACCTAAGTAAATACATAAAAATCCAGTGCAAGGGTATATATGGTTTTAAATTTAAACCATATATAGAGCATGTGGAGTCTCATGCCGGACAATACCCAGTGTAACACCACAGTAATTAATGCAGAAAGGCTGGTTCACCCTTAGGGAATATATCTTATTAGTATGGGGCTCACCCATCAGTAAAACATGTTAGGGTTGCATTAACCATATAATAATGTCACTTGCAAAATTACCTGTATAGAGGCAAAAAATGCCGGCTCAGAAGCGGGAATCCAACACTCAGAACCACTAGTGTGGAGCTGGATGATCAAAGATGGCCTCTGTGAATCTCGCAACAGTGCACAAGATCCATGTATGGACCTGATGGAGACGTCCTCCTACGGGTCTGGAGAAGGTGCAGAGCGATTAGCGATCCCCAAAGGCCCCCTGTGACGCAAAATGTAAGGGGAAGAGATAGAAAGTGTGCCATGGCAATGCAGAGAAGGGAATAAACTGCTAAATTAAAATAGAAATAGAAGGAAGGGTAACATGTAGGGGGACTAAGCCTACAGTGATAGCAAAGGGGTAAAAGTGGATTAAATAAAGGATATTTGAAAGGACAAGAAATGTAATATGAATATATTAATAACACAAGTAATCCATAGACACAATAAATAATTAAACAACAAAAACCAGAGCTCCCACCAAATTGCAGTGGTACCTTGACCTGCACTGATGAGGAGCAGCAAATAAAGAGGAAGTATTAGGGGAGCATGGGACTTACATTGACTTGTTTTCTATTATCTCATTGGTTATATTCTTATATAATGTGTGCTGCTGTGGAGTTCTAGTAAAAAGAGACTAAAGCAAAATATGAAGCCTCCTGTCATGTAGTAAAATTAAAGTATTATTACCCAACTGCAAAGTTACAGGAGGTGAGTGTTGCAGAAGGTGTTCAGGTATGTAGCCCGAGACTATAAAAACTCTATGTTTTACAATATAACATAGCAACAGTTTGACATAATCCAATAGAGTAATTGTCACACAGATTTTAAAAATCCCTTATATATTTTTCTTGTTTGAATTTGCTGCTTCTGGAAATTGGATAATATTAGTGATTCTCCAAGGTTAACAATAAAAAAAAATGTGATAATATATACTTGGCTGAGAATTCAAGGACTATAGAGAACGGTGCATCTTCTTCTACTGGGTTGCTGCATCACTGCTGGTCCATGCTTCTAGCATACGGTTACACCGCTGTGGCCCATGCTCCTGTGACACAAGATTACAATGTAGGGTAAATTGTTATACACATGTCAGTATAGTGCAAGGTACCGCAACATATCTCATACTGTAATGGCTGGCAGTGTTATGGACAGTGCTGTAATGGAGCGTTACTCTCTTCAGTATAGCACCTGCAGACCGATGTAATAATGCAACTTGTGACTTTGAAGTCAACAGATGAGCTCTATTAGGTTTTACTAATTACACAGATCAATTAAACAGACATTTGAGGTATATCTCAGGCGCAGTGTAACAAAGATCGTTTTGAGACAATCTTTTCCACTGTAACCATGCCTTGGGTGAGGCTGTGCCTAGAACTGATGGCACTTGAGGAATCTAAAGCTGGATATATGATGGGCAACTAATTGAAAACTACCACTACCAAGTGGTATCACAATTTGTAAAATGAATTGCAGCCAAACAATCAATGTTTTATTACATGGTGTGTAGTTAGTAGTTGTTGTGAATGGCTATTAGATACAGCACCTTCTGTCATGTGTTTAGTGTGTTGCCGTTATGAATAGCAAAAGGACACAGCGCTTATTGTCACATGATGGCAACTGAGCATTGCAGGTTCACACAGCACCCAGTGTTTGATGATATCATCTATGAACAGCGGTTGGATGCAAAGATCACTATCACATGTTCCGTGAACAGCAAAAGAATGCAGCACTACCTGCCATGTGATATGTAGTGTACAGGCTTGAATGAAGAACACTCAATACATGGTAAGCAGCCACTATCAGGATTGTTCACTGCTCATAACTAAATGTGCATTTCTATTTAATTTCGTTTTTGTGCAAAATCCAATAGGATGATTCACAAATTATTGTTGACTTGGCTTTTGCAGGCAAATAGTTAAAACCTTGGTGACACGAGGGTTATCCTATACGTAGGATAAAACTGGACTATTGCTAATTAGTCCATAAAAAAATCCCATGGACAATGATTGTCTCCTCCCCCCTGCCCCTACCTGTGGGCATCACGTGGGGGCTACATTTTATTAGAGAAGGGTTGCAGGTTTTTTAATTTTAGAGACATCCAACCATGGCCAGCAAGGGTTGTGGCTCTAAAACAAAAAAAGGGGGGGGGGGAGGAGGGGGGAACTGAGTGGGTAACACTGCCTTTCTCAGTAGTGGTGCTGGCGTAAAGACCAAAATATATCCAAAATATAAAGATTAAGAAACAGTGAATTACAGACATTGTTAAATACAATGAATAATGTCCAAATTTTGCAGTCCTTTGGTACACAACCAAGTGGTTTTCCCACATCCTATATGGGGACATTCAGACTTTTGTTAATAACACTGTTGTGTAATGTTTCCTTTAGTTTACCATTCACGGATTAATAGTTGTGTATATTTGGAATCCAGAACAGATTCCTTTTGGGTTGATCACCCCACCCATACACAGCATATGCCGGTTTGTAAGTGACAAGGGCCCTGGAAGCCATTTAAGCAGTGAGTATTGCAGTAGCATTTTTATCTACCATGTTAAAATTAGTATAGGACTCACTCATTCAGAGCCAGAATGACAAAATACAGACATTGTTAAATACAATGAATAGTGTGCCAATTTTGCTGTCTGAGTGGCCCCGTACACACAGAAATAGTTCTGCCACATTTTATATGTGGCCATTCATACATTTGTTAATAACAGTGTTATGTAATGTTTCCTTTAGTTTAATATTCACAGATTCTTTAATGGCAAGTTATCTATATTCACAATTTGGGTACCTTTGGCAGTGACACATTGTCCTGTCTCTGCATACATCATGTGCCATAGCATTTAGAAAGGAAATGCCTTTTGTTTTAGGAAGCCTAAATGTAAATAACTTGCTGGAAAATACACAGATTACTTTTACGTCAGTACATTAGTAATTATTTTTGCAAAGCAATCCTGTCAGACTTGTCCCTAGGAATGAGGAACAATGCCTCACCCAATTAACCATTGCTGTGTTACCTGTCTGTTGTTTTGTGCAACTTGCCGATGTCTCTTAGTTCTTTGTGTGCCTGAAGTTTCCTTCTGTAATTTCTTAGCTTGTTTTATTTATCTGTCCGAGTTCCCCATTTGTCAGTAATTGATCGTTTCTATAACAGTTTTATAGTCTAGGTTGGCCATAACGTGCTGTACTTGTCTGTCCAAGTTTCCCATATGTAACTAGTTTATGAGGTCTGTACCAGTTATAGCCCAGATTTTATGGATAACCATTCTTGAACAGAGATGGATTAGTTATACACACATAAAAAAAAGTTATATATTTAAATGAACATTCTCAGCGCACCATAACGTTATGATACCAGGAGTGCCCAGGTCCCGGTCCCCCACTGTAAATAGTCAAACCATTTGCAAACAATTTGACTTAATACCAGAGGTCTGCAGGCACCATTCACTTCATCCATTGAGAGCCGGAAACTCCTGCACAGAGCTTCTGTTCTCCTGGAGACGTTAATTGACAGACTTAAAATATACTTTAGTGTTAGGCATACAAAGTTGTATTCCTATAGTGTCCCGCCCCCACCATGTAAAGGGTTAAAAACCCTTTATTTAGGGGGGCGGAGCCAAGAGACAAACTGACTGGTCGCATCTACAGCAAAAAAACGACAATTTCACACCCCAAAAAGCAACCAAAGCTGACCTTCCTTAACAGACAAAAGCAACAATGGGCAGAAAAAAAAAAAATCCAAACCAGATCTGCACCGGCCGGGCACCAACATTGGTGACCTATGGCGGTGAGCAAATGGCGCTACGGAGCCCGACATGGCCGCCTACATGGACGACTCCGACGAGCAACTCTTGGAGCCTAAAGAGGCATGCTTACCCACAGTACGGGATCACAAAGGCCTAAATGAGGGAGATGCTGGCGGAACTCCGCCGGAATATCCAGGCTGATGTGGCGGACATGCGAAAAAACACCCAGGGTCTGACAGACCGCATGGGATCCATAGAGCAAGACTCCCGCACCAACACAAGGCAAGTGACCTCGCTCCAGCAGGAGATGAAATCGCTACAACAGCAGCACCTGAGGGTAGAACAGAAAATGGCAGCACTGGAAAACTCACACCGTGCCCGAAACATCAAGATCAGAGGCATAGCAGAGTCGGTCCCAGAATCTGAACTTCCTCACCTCATAATACACCTAGTGAGCAAAATACTCCCGCCGAGGCAGGCCAAGGGAGTAGGCCTGGATGGCGTGTTCAGAATCCCTAAACCACCCACGGCTCCACTAACAGCACCTAGGGACTTAATTGTCAAATTTCAAAAGCGACAGGACAAAGAAGCAGTAATGACCGCCATCAGGGACAACACGTCGTACACCTTTGAGGACATGACTCTTTCATTTTATACAGACTTGTCTAAAGGTACTATGGCCTGGCGCGCATCCCTCAGGCCCTTCACCACCGTACTCCGCACATATAACATCGGTTCATGTGCTTCAGGGAGAAACTTCATACCTCATAGCGGATCTGCAGGAGGCGAAGATGCACCTCTCCACCTTTGGCCTTCCAAAAGACTCTATGCAGCAACCCCGCATAACCTCTAAGCCCCACGAGTGGAACCCGGCTACCTCCGAGACTTTTGTCCCAGACAGTGGCCCCTACCCGAGCATCCCTAACGGGCGACTGGGCCACACCAGCCACTCATAACTTTAACTTTTCCTTACTGCCGTTATAAGTTTGAATGTATCATTTGAATATATGTTTTGGTGACGCAATCTGTTTGCACCCTCACCGCAGAGGCACTCACACTTTGTAGGTCGCACCGTGGCCGCTGGATAACACTCAACCGCGCACAATCCCCCCGGCTACCGTGACCTCCCAGGTCGACTAGGCGGCGGAGCCACACACAACACCTGAACATAGCGACACTGGCTCCGGCCATCAGGGCTTAACCCGACGCCAGGTACAGTACTGTATATATGCAGCGCTCAGGCTGCAAGCACAGGGGGTCGCCTTACTCCTAATCTGATCACACACAGCCAGGAACAATAACCCCTCTTTACCGCAGTCACACAGAGGAGCGATTCTCACCTGCCTACTACCCTCTACACATATTTCACTGGCTATCTGCCTGCCATCCATACACACTCCCCATGAGGACCACTCCAACGTTTAATACCACAACCATTGTACTGCCTGGCGGCACTCTACATTACTTTGCTTTAAACAACCCAGCTTAGCTGTTTGCCTAAACCGAGATTATGCTCCTCGTAAGAGCCAAAATACTTGTCTGCGAACTATAGCATGCTGTAAACTGCGCACCCTGTAAGGCCCCAGATGGTGCGGAAACCCCAGTTACACAGACACAACAGGGTTGACTGAGACTACACACATAATGCTTAATTAGTACAAATTCCCAAATGTATATTGTCTAGTTAAGGAACCTAGGCCAAACATAGAATGTGTAATATGTTCGACGACCCGACTTGCATATTGAGCAGCCTTCACCTGTAATATGTTGCATTGCTACAGTTTCTACATAACATAAAAACGTGCAACACTTTCCATGCCATTGTCCGTATTGTAATGTCAAAGTTTACGCTGCTGTGGTGTCATTGAAACGTTTTGTACACACCTGCACAAATAAAATAAAGAATTTAAAAAAAAAAACAACCTTTATTTACTGACATGATTCAAGCCCCGATCACCCTTGGTGCTGGGTCGGCCCCCGCCTCCTCCGACATCATTGCATTTAGTCCTGCAATGTAAATCATTGCAGTTTTAGAGAAACTGCAAATATGACTTTGCAGGACTAAGACTGCCTCTAGTGGCTGTCAATCAGACAGCCACTAAAGGCACTTCCTGGATCCTAACGGACTCCAGGGGGGCTAATGTGCATACGCGGCGAGATAGGAAAACATTACCTAAATGCTTTCCTATGGGGATTTTACAGACGCTGGAGGACTTCCAGCATCATTTAGGTGACCTGGAGACCGTTAAGATCCAGGAAGTGCATGTAGTGGCTGTCTGACTGACAGCCACAAGAGACAGTCTTAGTGCTGCAAGGTAATCTTTGCAGTTTCTCTAAAACTGCAATGATTTACATTGTAGGACTAAGTGGAACATGGACACTGCACCCAGACCACTGCAATGAGCAAAGTGGTGTAGGTAACTATTGTGTCCCTTTAGTGATTGCGTTAGGGCTTAGAGAATCCCTGTTTTGTAATCTTCGGTATGTGTAAAGGTTAGCGCAAGCTCAAGGCTGCTGTAGTTTCAAAACAGCTATCAGATTACACAGAACTCAGTTAACTGTTTAGTGAACCAATCTCTGTTTTACTGTCCTTTAGCCAGGCATGTGTAGTCCACAGTTCAGCTCTTGCTCTGGGGAGGGAAAAGAGCCGTCCTTATTGTGAATGCAGCATGCCACATGCATAATAAGGACGGAATTGACAGTTGCATTCCAGAATCAATATTTTTTCTCTCTGAACTGAGAGTGAACTCAAGGTTCTCTAAGCAGTGTGTACTTATACACAATAACGCAAAGTGCTTGTGGTGCTTAGACTGACCCTTCAACTCATGTAATTCTGGGTTAAAGGAACACAATAGGGTCCGGAACACAAACATGTATTCCTGACCTTATAGTGCAAAACCCACCATTAAGGTGGCTTGCCCCCTTACCACCTCTAAAAGCATGAAAAACTCACCTTATTTCCAGCGCCATGCAGGTCCGACGGTGCTGGCTCCACCCCCTTGGTGACCTAATCAGAATTGCCGATTTTTAACCAATGGGGAATTTGGAATGCCATTTTGGCTAATCAGCACCTCCTCATAGAGATGCATTGAATCGATGCATCTCTATGAGGAAAATTCAGCGTCCCCATGCAGAGCGTGTAAGGCAATAATTATACTCACCAGAATGTAAGGCAATGATTATACTCACCAGAAAAACTACATTAAGCTGTAGTTGTTCTGATGACTATAGTGTCCCTTTAAAGACAGCTAACAGTTAGGATTCCCTTGACCAAACTAAAGAATTCTGATTGGCCAATCTACTTCCTGAAGTAGACAATGCTGAAGGTTGGTGATGCAATGCCTGGGGATTAGTACAAAAAACTTTTAATAACTTTTTTAAACTTTGGGTTAGTTGCTTTTTTTCAATTTATTTATTTATTTTGTGGCTCTGTAAACTTTTGAAAAGTCTTTGTATATTATGCAAAGTTCCTCCCGATGGTGGCATCATCGCTTGGTATGCGGCTGTGGTGGTGCGTGGGTAAGTTTTGCATTCCAAAAGCTGTCCATCACAGGCATCGCCATCTAAATCTGCCAGAAGCACCCATCAGTGCTGTACTCTCACGCATGAGCAGATACACAGACGCAAACACTGACACACCTACAGTTGCACAGACAGCGGTTCCCACATGTTGAGAACCGCTGCTGTAGAGCATCTTTCACAATACTTGAAAATTAGCAGAGAGCAGATTTTAAATTAACCAATGATTTTAGTACCCTTTGCATTTGAAAACCCATTATGTGCTCTATCCATATGCGAAAAAACAACAGTTTACACACTAATTGCGCAAGATTTAGATGGATTATAATTAATCCGTTAACTAGAGCTGTACATGGTGATATATTTCTAGGAAGGTTTTAGGTTTCCAAAAGTCACATAGTTTATAGAATTAAATAAAATAGAACATGTTAGCTATTCGCTGTCTCTCTCCACCATATATTTTTAGATTTTTACTAATGTATAATCCATTATTCTGGGAGGGCACTCCTGGCACACTAACTAATGCAGAGTTCTGTAGTGGTTATGGTGCATTGAGCATACCTTTTAAGCTTGTCTCACATGCATTTAAAGGGACACTACAGGCACCAAGACCACTTCTTCTCATGAAGTGGTGTGGGTACCATGTCTGTCTCTCCCCACCACTTTTAAGCCTGCAATTGAAAACAATGCAGTCATGCAGAATGACAATGTTTAAATTGCAGGTTTAATTGCTTCTAGAGGCTGTCACTGCAACAGTCACTAGAGGTGATTCCTCTTAAATAGCAGAGTAAAACCAGAGACTTTTGGTTAAAATGACACCGCAATGAAATGGTCTTGGTGCCAGGTTGCTGTAGTTTTAACCCTACAACTGGAAACAGAGCCATTTTGCAAGAACAGCAATGGGTTAACATATCTCTAGTAGCTGACACAATGAGATTCCCTCCCCTCACCAATAGCAGAGTTAAACTCATAAAGACCATTTGATTGGTGCAGTGCTTTGTTTATGCATCCCTAGGCACATCTCCCTGCATGTGACTTGCACTGCCTTCTTAAAAACTTCCTGTAAGCAGTCATCTGTTTACACTTCTTTTATTGCAAATTCTGTTTAATTTAGAATGTTGTATCTCCTGCACGGTTAATAGCTTCCTTAAAGGACCACTATAGTGCCAGGAAAACATACTCGTTTTCCTGGCACTATAGTGCCCTGAGGGTGCCCCCACCCTCAGGGTCCCCCTCCCGCCCGGCTCTGGAAGGGGGAAAGGTGTTTAAACTTACCTTTTTCCAGCACTGGGGAGCTCTCCTCCTTTCTCCTGGGCTGAATGCTTCGCAGAGCTGCGCATTCACGATTATAGGAAAGCATTCATAATGCTTTATAATCACTGTGAAAATCACAGTGAGAAGACGAAGCGCCTCTTGTCAATGAGACAGCCACTAGAGGAGGGGGAAGGCTTAACCCATTCATAAACATAGCAGTTTCTCTGAAACTGCTATGTTTATGAAAAAATGGGTTAACCCTAGCTGGACCAGGCACCCAGACCACTTCATTAAGCTGAAGTGGTCTGGGTGCCTAGAGTGGTCCTTTAAAGTTCCATTTAAAGAGCAGGAGATAAAAACTTGTAAAGTAAGTTAACATCAGATTGAAAATGAAGCCATTTTATTTTATGCAGGCTGTGTAAGACAGCCTTATTTTTGTGTTATGCTTCCATTGTATTCACTTTATGTTTAAAATAATGTGGATGAAATGTTATTTATTGTACAGGTAAAGCCATCCATCGTAAAGAAAATATTACAACAATATCATTATTTCCTTTGCTTAAAGAGCTTTAGGCACCCAAAAATTAAGTGCACTATAGAAGTAACAATTAGAAACGTGGTAGTTTGTTTTTGTGTGTGGGTGTTTTTTTTTTTCCTTTACCTATACTTGTATTGGTCGAGCTTTATACCCCTCCCTTCTAACCTGTAGTGTTTTCCTTTATTGCTCCAGTAATTCATTTTCTTTGTGATGTCTTCAGGCTGCACAGCAAAGAAAGCTGACAACTGAACTACAACTCCCAGAAACCTATGCTGTAACGATAAAAAAAAATTTGTCCTGGATTTGATGGGATAAACTGAGCAAACGCACAAAAATCTGAGGTAGAACCCTGATTGGTTAAAGGAATGTGCTAGTGTAGTAAGCAGATTAGAGTGTTCCTCTGGTTTGTTTTTGTTTTGTTTTGTTTAATCATTAAGCACCCATAGAAAAAAGAAGAAAAAAAGTTAAACATTTCTTATTTTAGATCATCTGATGAATGTTTTTGTACTAGTCCAAAGCTTTCCATAGAGAACACATTAAATCCACTCCTATTTAAGAAATGTTGTGCATGCTGAAATGGAATATAAAGTCTTTAAATGTTATACGGTCTTTATAGGTAAGTGTGTCTGTCTGACGGCCACAGAAGACGTACTTTGTGACAAATATAAACATAGCAGTTTCTTACAAAAGGCAATGTTTATACTTGTCAGACAGCAGGGACAGGGTCTATGCACCAAATCTGCTACAATAATATGTCGTTGTTTTTGGTAGAAGAAGAGCACACTGCAGGCAATAAAAAGCCTGAGGAATGTCAAGTGTATCTGATATGTAATAAAAGTAATGTTTTTAAATGTTGTTATTTTTTAGTCGATTTTTTAAAATGCCTTAAAAAGAATGGAATGTCTGGTTGCTTTATGCTTTTGTCTTTTGTTTTCTCACTTTTGGGGAATTGTGTAGATAGATAGATGGGTAGACAGTCAGATAGGTAGTTAGATAGATAGGTATGTAGGTAGGCAGGTAGGCAGACAGACAAATAAAGAGATTTAAATGCACACTGATGTTGAAAAACAATGAATACAAGTCAATACAAATCTCTTTTGATTCCATTGTCCATTCAACAAGCTTCAAGAAAGGACTCTCAGGTCAAATTCTTTTTGTAGCAAATGTACATTTGTAATAATAATAAAGCAGTCCTTTGAGCAGCCAAAGTGGGATTCCATGTATAGTATATCAGTGTTTTAACATGAGTCCTGTTCATGATACACTTCTATGTTAATCACTTGGAGTAGCAGTACTGTTTCTAGTTTGTGTTCACAGCTTTATCCATTAACAGGGATTTTCACAAAATTTCAATATAATTTCAATAATTTCAAAATGAATTTCAATTTCAAGATAAAAAAAAAAAGCCAAGCTAAGAAGGGGGCGTGGCTAGCTGTGCAACGGATCAGACGTATCTAAGAAGAGCTCTTGCTCTATTGTACACCAATTGACTGTAAAGCCACGGAAATTGTTAGATTTACCTGCACGTTTAACATTCTGAACCCCCCCCAAAGATGGGGCGAAAACACAGGAAAACTGGCCCCGGCAGAGGGCATACGCAGGCCATGACTAAGATGGCACACGGGAGACCACGAGGCTCCAGAAAGTCTGAAGACTCACAGGAGGAAGAGAGCTCTACTGCCTCGAAGGCTCCAAGTGGAGTATACCGGAGAACAGACTCTGACACATATCCATCGACAAAGCTCCTGCTCGACCTCCAGGCAATCTGGAAGGCGGATCTAGCTGGTGTACAATCAGAGATCGGGAGTCTAAACCGACGGGTCGGTGAGGTGGAATCCCGTGAAGGAGAACAGGAGGGTCAACTGACAGAGACCCGATCCCAGGTGGCAACACTCACAAGTCCAGCATCTTACTTGCACAGTTATTTCTCTAGAAGTGTGGCACAGTTGGAGGAACATCAGGTTAAAAGGGGCCCAGAAGCTCTACTGGAATTTGCAAACAAGGTGGCTTGAGTATTGGGGGTGAAAGGATACCAGGAAACTGCACCAATAGCATCAGCATTCTGTATTTGGAAGACCCCGACCACCCCTGCAGAAACACCCAGGGACATTATAGCCATTACCCGAGATGTTTCTATTAAAACAGCCATCCTGGCTTGCTCCAGAAATCATCCCACCATCAAGGTGAAGGACACACCATTAGGATCTATGATGACTTACCATTCTTGGCCCTGTTGGACAGATGGAGATTTCTACCAGTCACCAAACTGCTAAGGGAACACAGTGTCAGATACCGATGGGGAACATTGGGAACTTTGCTAGTACCCCATGGAGATACAGTACTGACTCTATCAGCGGAGGAAGATCCAGCAGCCCTTCTGAGTACCATGGGCCCGCCACTTACGTCACCCGTGAGGTCCAGGGGAGCTGTAGTCCCAACAAAGGGAACACCCAGTTTGGAGACAGAAATCCAGGGCAGGGTCCACGAACCCCCATAGAATGCCCCATCCAGCTGAGAATGCCCCTGGCAACCAAAGGGTTTATACGAAACCCACATTCTAACTGTTTAATTACATACAGCCTGCACAATTGTTGAATGATGTTTTGGTTGACTGTTATTTTTGTTGACTATTTTCTTTTCTTTTCTTTTTTTTTATCCACGATGGCTAACTACCTAACCAGACGGGGGCACATGCGGGAAAAAGAGGGGGTACAGAGGAGCATATGGGGTTATGACAGCAGAGTTGTTGGTGAGCGCCTTCTGGGTATAAAAGTCTTTATCATAGGAACCCAGACAGCTGAATCCTCAGCCTCCCTATAGTGAGACACCTTACAAAGGAGGGATAGTTCCACTGGATCCCTTGGACACATTAGGCTAACAGGGACCCCAACGCCCCACATGTCTGAGGCTGCCAAAGGAATTACAAATAGACAATATGCTTGGGCTGCTGGCCTATATGCTCCCCTCATTACTGTAGGTTGTTGTTTTCATCAACTATCTTTTTTGTGGAATATAATTTTGTATATGTGGGCCAGAAACCTATCCTGACAGGGAACATGGATGGATAGGTGAGAGAGTATGAGGGCGAATGGGAGTATTAGAGGCAGTCTTGTCTGTGTGAGCCCCACACACCCTTGCCAAAGAGCCCCAGATAGGTGAGCATTAAGTCTCCCTGCATTTCGACACCTTAAAGAGATGGGATTTCCCGGGCGCAGTAGTCTAACAGAGACGAGGGGAATGCTGAATACGGCCCAGCCTCTGCTTCAAGCACCAGCAGCAGGTAACTGCTCCTAGAATTACAACCCACCTTTCATGGAGTCCCCCTGCGAGGGCGCACTGGGTTCCAACAAGATGCACGAGACAGTATGCCAGGGCAGAGTGCAGTGGGATGGTAACATGGAAGGGGACGTGATAGAGGAGTGGGCTTTGGATTACCCTTAAGGGCTCTGTTGTTTTTTTGGGGGAAGGAAGGGGGTTCACTCGAATTTAGTTTTTTTGTGTCATGTACCTGTTTTTATGCTATAATCAGCTGTATTATTCCATGCAATGTCTGATATATGTCTGCAATACCAAAATGTGTGGAAGCAATCCACATAATAAATAAAGAATATTAAAAAAAAAGCCAAACTACACTGTATCAATAGTAATAATAAGTCCTGATAGTCAAAGGATAGGTCTATCAGAAAATGTGTAAGAGGGAATAAGACAGAGAATAGGATAAAAGCTCTGAAACTGGAAAAAGTGGGGTTTCATCAAATCCCATAAGTATTCACAAGTATAAAAATAAAGGCATCCAAGAGCTTATAACATGTAACTAATACATACTAGATATTTAATATATTGACAGAGAATAAATGTCAATATCTAGTATCTATTAGTTACATGTTATAAGCTCCTGGATGCCTTTATTTTTATTTTTACACTGTATCAATGACTAGAGCGTCTCCTACATTATATCTGGAGTGACTGGAGTTAGGCAAAGCTCTCACCTCCACTGCGCTACACAAGTTGTTCCTCTGACATGGTACTGGGCATTGTAGTGATAATACTAACCATTCCATATGCGTGACACTGTTAGACTGAACAAGTATCTGTTTTGTTTTCTTTGTGTTATACTCTGAAAACAAAAACTGTAAACGTCATTGTTAGTGCTGCACTTTGACACTGTCATTGTAATATCCCCGATTACTCACTGTCAGTATCATACTTAACAAGTCTTATGTATCCTGTGTTCACAATAACTTCACAATCTTTGAAATTAATTTAAAAAAAAAGAGAGAGAGAGAATAGCCGAACAGGTCAGCTTTGCTTGAACTTTAACGACCTTAAATTTGAAATTCACTTTGAATTCTTCCTTTAGTGAATACCCTGTAAGTTCATTCACTAAACTGTTAATTATTATTTATAAAGTGCCAACAATGCTAAATGAGCCAAGCGTTGAATAAACCTTTTAATTTTCAAGTTCAGCTTTTTTTCTATCACTATTCAGTGTTTATCAAATAAATAAATGAGATGTGACCATTTGACAACAGAGTTAGAAAAATTGGTACCAAACACCCAATTACAAAGGTTCGGACTTTTATAGATTTATAATTTGTTTGGCCTAAACATCTTTGTCGACTTTGCAGCAGAGCTCACTGTTTTTAGTAAATTATTCCCTAAAATTCATATTGATTGAGGAGAAACCTAATCCACATTGGTTCAAATTTGAAGTATAAATATAATTAATTCTACGTACTTTGTGTATCATATATATATATATATATATATATATATTGTAAAAAATTATGTGTTACCACAGAATGAGAGAGTTCTGCTATATATAATTGTGTATTTTCTTTTCCAGGCATTTTTGTAAACTGTAGTTGCCCTCCAGCTGTACCTTGTACAAGGAAACAGAAAGGTGGTTATCCTGTAGGAGCAGGGGTGTGGAGTCAGTACACATTAAAGCCAGAAAGACCCGTCTGACAGGTGTGAAGTCAGTGGAAATCTGATCACAGACGTGTATCATGGGACCTTCCTGTCTGTCTGAGAAGCTCTAACGAAGCCAGCGACAGAAGCAACCACACAACGGCAAAAGGAAGATGAGGCGCTCATTACATATCTCTTCCAAAGACAAAGGGGAAATTGAACTGTGCTAACTAAGGAGGTGCAGGACAAAGCATGGTAATCAGCAAAGGACAGACGCTGACGAAAGGTAAGGACATGAGGAGATATACTGGACAGGGACAGGAACTGTGACAAAGCACAAACAAAGTCACTAAGTAACTACATAAAATATACTGCGTTAAGGGAACAAGAAACACAAATAATAGACATAAGGGGCCAAAACGTGTTTACTGGAAATTGACAGATCTGTTCATTAACAAGGTGTTGGCAATGGCAAACACAAGGATCAAATTTGGGTACTCAGCTTAACTCTTTAATTCTGTTGGCCATCTGTTACAAACAAGCAATCCCAAAGCACTTGGATTTTTGTTTCCAGTAAAGGCTGTGTTTGATACATTCTATCAGCAGCTGAATGGGACTTGGGTCCTGGTTCAGATCAGCTGATTGTGGGAAACAAACACCTCTCACGTTTAGATCCAACGTGGAGCTATTTTTCGGATATCAACTTAAAACAGCCTTTTACAGTTTTAAATTTGCAATCTACTCTGTGAATAATGAATGTCAGGGTTACTCACAACAGAGCAATCTATATTATCCTGTGTGTTTGCTTTGTAAGGCTGTCACAGCTATTTACTAAGTTGTGAGATGTCAGGATTTTACCAGGGAATTTCAAATTTTATGATAAAATCACAGTGGCAACCATAACTTAAAAAAAAAAAAAATGGTCTACTTTGGCGGCAAAAAATTAAAATTTCCTGATGAATTCCTGATTAACCCTGTGTATCTATCGCTCTGGATCTCATTGAAAGCTGTGTGGTTTGCAGACAAGCAATCTGTCGCTATGAATATGTGTGACAATATGTCTGTTTCATTAGTGCTGTTCGATAATACAATTACAGACATTCCGCAGCATGTGGTTTGAAGCTACGTTCTGTATTTATTGGAGACTAAATGTTTTAAAGACTGCGTGAGATCAAGACAGTCGTAATAAAAAAAATAAAAAAATAAAAAAGGTCAGGTCACACAAGGTAAAGTAAAAAAGTAAATAAAAGAGAGAAAGAGAGAATAGGGATAGCAGGTATTCAATACCACAAGACTGAAAATCTGTTTCCTCTCTAACATGCTACACCATTTATTTATATATATATATATATATATATATATATATATATATATATATATATATCTCTGATGTTACATGATTTTTTGAAGTACATGGTTTTTATTTGCCGATATATATTGGTAATCCATTCCCAGATCTGTATTTATATTACAGCTATTTGTTTAGGTATGTGTCATTGGTAACTGAAGTACATGTAGACATATCTGTACCTGCCAAAGTGAAGTGAGTTGAATATTGACATATAAATCGTATTGGTAGTGTGGAATATAGGGCATTTTGCATCTATTACTGGTTTGCAGGTGGAATGTATTTATAAAGTTTGCCATTTAAACTTTATGCTGTATATAAATGTATTAATATTTTGTGTAATGAATGTTTAGTGTAATAGAAGCAGAATGATTGTCTAATTCTCTTTAGATAATGTGGTTAAATTCTATCCACTCAAATGACATGATCCAGGTTAAAAAAAAATTTAGATTAAAGGGACACTATAGTCACCCAGACCACTTCAGTTCAATGAAGTGGCCTGGGTGCCAGGTCCCTCTAGGGTTACCCCTGCCTGCTGTAAACATAGCAGTTTCAGAGAAAGCCACTAGAGGCGCATCTGCGATGCTGGAGGCATATTATGCCTCCACCAAGCAGAGCGTCCATAGGAAAGCATAGAAAAATGCTTTCCTACAGACACTTTGAATGCGCGCACGGCACTGCCGCGCATTCCGCTCCGCTGACGTCAGACGAGGGAGCTGACGTCGGCGGGGGAGGAGAGGTAAGGGAGCCCGGCGGTGGAAGAAGGTGAGTAACTGAAGGGGTTTTAACCCCTTCAGCACCACGGGAGGGGGACCCTGAGGGTGGGGGCACCGATTTGTTTTCCTGACACTATGGTGATCCTTTAAAGGAGATTTCAAACGATACATCCATGGGACTCCTTATAAAATCCAGTGGCCGCAGGGCGCAGGGGAGGTGATTCTTTCTTATCTCAAGCTGTCCGGCCCAGCGGTTGCCATCTTCACGCAGCTGTTCTCTTTGTACTCCTAGCTGTGAGTTCTATTGAGGACCCTATGAGAATGTGGGATCCTCCATAAACAGAGCCTAACGGCTGCTGGGATGGGAAAAACGTTGACAACAGTCTTTTGTCAAAAATCAGGCTTTACCATAAGACAAAGTAGTCCCTGACGGCTTTGTCTTCATGGTATCTTTGGATTTTGTTGGAATTCCAATGAAACTCCAACACAGTGTTAATAAGTATTTAATAAAGCATATATCTTTATAAAATACCGAAAAGTTACAGATCTGCTCTAACTGTCAACAAAATATATGGTGACATGGCTGCGTGAATCCTAAGATATATCTACACCAGGTGTGGCCTATGGTTTGGAAGCCATGTCATTAGCCTAATGACAGAAATCGTTGAAACCATGTTATCAAACAACATTTACATTTTGCAACCACATTTGACATTTAATGTGACCTCTGAGATAATAATTTTCTGCCTTTATTACACAAAAACAGACACACATATATAAATGTGTGTGTGTGTGTGCGCATGTATGTGTGTATATGTGTACAATCCTATATATTTTTCAACTATTAACTATATAAACACTAAATGTAGATCCAGCACTCTACCTTTAACGGGACACTATACTCACCAGTGCAACTACATGTATTCCTGACCCTATAGTGTTAACACGACCATCTAGCCCCCCTGGGCCCCTTATGCCTCTATGAATATAGTAAAAATCTTACTGTATTCAAGACTGAAGCTGTAAATCTGCATGCTGTTAGACTCAGGAAAAACAAGCAGTCTGCTGACATGTGATAGCCTGATCCAATTACAGTGCTTCCCCATAGGAAATGGCTGAGACTGACAAGGAGGCAGATCAGGGGCAGAGCCAGCATGATTAAACACAGCCCTGGCCAACCAGCATCTCCTCATAGAGATGAATTGAATCAATGAATCTCTATGAGGAAAGTTCAGTGTCTGCATGCAGTGGGAGGAGATACTGAATCCCAGGATGCTCGTGCACAGCAGATCTGAGTGGATGGAGGCATATTATGCCTCAATCAACTCAGAAGTCCCTCTGGTTAACTCTGAGTGATTGCAACTGGAGGTGTTCCTAGCTTTCAATGTAAGGCTGCAGGGAGCAATAGTCCTCACCTGAACAACCTCATTAAGCTGAAGTTGTTCAGGTGACTATAGTGAAAATAAACATTCCGAGGTGCAGAACACTGCAATTATATACAGAATAGGTGCACTCAAGACTTTTTTGAAGTATATATTTTTAGTGAAACAAAAGTTTACATCCAATCGACATTTTGGCCCCACCTGGGCCTTTTACAAGATTTATCTAATATATCTATATTATATGCTTGCACATGCAGACCTAAAACAATATCCCTATACATCCAAGATAAAACTTGGTATGTTCTACCCTTATCACACTTTATAGAGCAGTTAGCTAATTTGCATTTTGTATTGCTAATGTAAAATATATTTCTGATGCTTGATCCATTAAAGGACCACTATAGGCACCCAGACCACTTCAGCTTAAGGGTTAACCCTTTTTTTCTATAAACATAGCAGCTTCAGAGAAACTGCTATGTTAATAATAGGGTTAATCCAGCCTCTAGTGGCTGTCTCTTGACAGCCGCTAGAGGCGCTTGCGTGCTTCTCAATGTGATTTTCACAGTGAGAAGACGCCAGCGTCCATAGGAAAGCATTGTAAATGCTTTCCTATGAGACTGGCTGAATGCGCCCGCGGCTCTTGCCGCGCATGCGCATTCAGGCGAAGAGGAGGAGGAGAGCTCCCCGCCCGGCGCTGGAGAAAGAGGTAAGTTTAATCCCTTCCTCTCCCCAGAGCCCGGCGGGAGGGGGACCCTGAGGGTGGGGGCACCTTCAGGGCACTATAGTGCCAGGAAAACGAGTATGTTTTCCTGGCACTATAGTGGTCCTTTAATACACAGTATGTTACTCTACAATAGATTGTTCTTTGCTGAAGTGTTTACTCATCCATAGCTCCATAGCGCTTCCAGCACTAACATAGTATCCTGACGCTATCACTTATCAACAACATTGTATGCTGGACTGAAATTCTGTCTTCATAGCTCTGTTAAAATTATAGACTGATCATTTCTTTGTCAGTTGGCAAACGTTCAAAATTAGCAGGGGAAAAAATACTTTTTTCCTCACTGTAAGTAGTCAAACCATTTTTAAGAATAGATTGACTTGTTACCTGGGCTTAGCTCATTGGCTGAGAGTGATGCATCGATGCGAGAATGGGATTAGTGGAGGTAGGGAATGGTGCCGGTTGAAGCCAGTCATAGGAGTCAAACCGTTCTGAAATAGTTTGACTACCTACTATTGGGGAGGTGCCAGGGCACTCAAATTCAGTAGTAGTAGTGATGATGCTTGGAGTGTTCCTTTAAAATATTTTTGACAGCTTGCCTTACCCCTTAATAGTGCCTAAAACTGACTGTTTTCCAGCATGCACTTGTCCTCCTGACGGGCTGCTCTGCATCCTTGTAACTTGTTTTATAGAATAATTGATGTGTTAAAGTGGAACTTTCACCATCTGTGGACTTTACATAATTTCCAAAGACTCCCAATGGTGACATTGCAGCTTGAGGTCCATTGGCTGTGGGAGACAGGTAAAGGTGAGTTCTACTTACCTGAACCTGTCCTTCACAGATGCGCCATCCTCTTTCGGCGGATATTTTTCTGCTCCTGGCACTTCAGTGTCAGGAAACATAATCACTGCTGTACTCTCATGCATAAGTGTAAGTACAGTATTGAGGTCTATGGAGGATTATGCAAGACCGTGGGATCCTCCACAGATAGAGCCGCCGTCACTGGACACATCTGGGGTACTGACACTTCTTGATGGTAGCGTCAGGTGTAGGAAAAATACATAGGACAAAATAACCCCTGCTTTGTCTTATGTATTTGGCTAGAAAAATAAAGGCTGAGTAGGAAAAGAAAGAGATAAGGAAGCGATTTAAAAAAAAGTAAATATGACATGACAGTGCTACTTTGATAAGTTTTGGCTCTCCTTTAAAATGGTAGACAGAAATCTATAATTGAAATATCTTAAAATATACAAACGCCGATCTTTTTATTCATATAGCATTGAGAATAGAATATACATGCTTGCCAAATACAGCATATAGAAATTGTCTTTACTTTTCCATTAGACACTTAAGACATTGAATAGTTTAGAACTTTAGAAACGGATACATGATCTGTTTACATTGTAACAGGAACCTGTTTTCTGCATATTACATGAGACTCTATTTGCTTACACCTATATATATATATAAGAAACACAAACATAAAATATATATGCATTGACTGTGATATAAGTGGCAGCTTTTATGTTTTCTGTTGCTTATACTTTACTGCATTTATAAAGATAATATAAATATCTTAAAATACTTAAAAGCTATATGGATTTAGAAAAAAGGCTGGGATAACTGGGAAATTAGATAATCCTATATATTTTCCACTATTAGCTACTTAACTACGAGTTCACTTCCAGTTATTTAGTAGATATTGTGGAGTCACCGTACAATTGCTAAAATACAAGTAAATCCATTTTTCCAAGATGCTGCTGCTGGTTTAAGCCAAAAAAACAGGTGCTGTTGGTTTTTTTGGTTGTTGTTTTTTTTGTTTTATTTTGCGTAGCTCAAAGCCACATTGTAACATTTAAATGGACCAGTCACCTGCCGAAACAAAACCTTTTTTCTTAATCTTGTATAAGCCATAAACTGTCTGCATGTGAATAGCTTTTTAACTTCTGCAAAGGATTCCCACAACAGGCCAGGGCCATTGTAATCCTCACCCTCGGGCCTGTCGTGCTCTGCCATCCAGGGGACATGCTGGACCACCATAGCACCTGGTACGCTTCGTCCAGCCACAGTTCCACACTCATCCAGGGGCTATTCTCCAGGAGAGGCATCCACAGCGCCACCCGATTCTGCACTCTCTGCTCCGGGCTTGGAAGCCTGCTCCCCTGCAGCTTGGCTTGGGTCCCGTCCCTTCCACCCTGGACCAACACCTGGCACTATCTCCCAGTGAGAAGACCTCTCCTCCAAGAGAGTATAACAATCCAAAGCGTAGTATAGCAATTCCTTTCACACATGAGCCAAGGCTTAATGCTGGTAAGTAGTCTGTTTAATGGAAGCACAGTCACAGAATTTATACAAGTTACAAACTCCTCCTGAGAGATAATTGAGTCAGGAACTGTACTAACTCATTTATCTCCAAGTAAAGAAAAAACTATTTTTTCAGACACCCCAAAAGTACCCCCCAAAACACATGAAAACCTCACAAAAGGTTACATCCCCTGATAGCCCCGATCTGCATGACCATATCCAAAAATCACCCAGATCGGTTCAGGGGTTTTGGGATTTCTATGGAAGTCATAACAAACTACTGAACGTAGGTAGTAGTCCTACTATGGAGCTTGTTCCCCTTATCCAGGCGAACGATTCCACCAAACAGTGCCCTTCTAGGTGGTGTAGAATCCGAACGCAGGTGATGATGGAAGTCTAGCAGTGTTCAGGAGTTTTTGTGTCTGATTTGACTTCCATGAAGTCGACGACCAAACACCGCTGCCTGCGTTCATGCAAACAAGATGGCCGCCACCTCGTGGTCGTTCAGACGAACAATTAGAACACTGCGGTTAGAATCGTTAAGAGGTGATGATAGGGCTTAACAAGCTCCCGAGTGGTCCATAGTTGGTGCGCATGTACTGTTCCCGAACAGCATAGGAAAATAGCACGAACTAAGTCAGGCTTTTGACAGGCTTTTTGCAGGGCCCATAGTCTTTGGGCAGGAGGCTAGCCAGCAGGCCCCTCCAGAAAAACGTGGCAGAGGCATTTCTTTTTTATGGTGCTAGTCCTAAACATAGCTGATATTGCCCTATTTTACTCAGAGCCTTCATGCTTGGCGTTCAGGCTCCAGGTGAACTACTGCTGGCCAAGTATTGTTAAAGAGACACTATACTCTCCAAAACAACTTTAGCTTAAATGACCATTATAGTGCCAGGAAAACAAACTCTTTGGGTCCCTTTCCTGCCGGGCTGTAGGAGGAGGAAGGGGTTAAACACATACTCGTCTCCAGCGCCGGGCTCCCTCGGCACTGGGGACTCTCCTCATCCTGCCGACATCATCCGCCAAATGCACATGCGCAGTAAGAGCCGCACGCGCATTCAATCAGTCCATAGGAAAGCATTTCTCAATGCTTTCCTATGGACGGCAGCGTCTTCTCACTGTGAAAATCACAGTGAGAAGCGCGGAAGCGCCTCTAGCGGCTGTCATTGAGACAGCCACTAGAGGCTGGATTAACCCTAGTGTAAACATAGCAGTTTCTCTGAAACTGCTATGTTTACAGCTGCAGGGTTAACCCTAGATGGACCTGGCACCCAGACCACTTCATTGAGCTGAAGTGGTCTGGGTGCCTATAGTGGTCCTTTAATGAAGCAGTTTTGGTGTATAGATCATGCCCCTGCAGTCTTCACTACTAGCAGTTTAAGCAATATGTTTGCAGTCAGTATGTTAATCTGCCATGTTTAAATTTGTGTGGAACTCACCCATATTGGGATACTGTGAAATAGTGGTGGGCTTAACACAATATGGCAGTTTGATGTAACTGAATCCCCATATTTGTTTAATAAGATAATTGATTTTAAGTAGCCTCATAAAATTTAAAACTGTATTTTTTTTTGTGTGTGTGCGCTGTTTCTTAATCTGTATTTTGTATATTTAGGTCTTTACGCAACACCACTACTGAGAAGTGTATGTACTGGGTGTGCTCCCAATAACCCTTTTATCTATTTTTACTGCACGTGGTAAACTGATAGTCCACTCTAATTTATTTAAAATGCAGAGGTCCATCAAATTTTAAGTAAGTCTACTGCTTTTGCCTGAAACACACCTTGTAGTGGACAGATGACAATAGAATAAGCCAACTCAGCCAGATAAAAAAAAAAGTAACATTGTCTCCAAAAATAAATAAATATCTTTAAAAAATATATAGAGCTTGAGTGAAGATTTGATGACATTTGTCCTTTAAATGCAATCTTGTACAGGCATGAAATACAGCCCCGTCCATTTTCATGCCAAGATAGATGGGTTAATTCTAGCCTGAATTTTTTAAATCACCTGGTCAATTCCTGAATATTATTTTACTGAATATAATCAAATCTGTTTGTGAAAAACAAAATGTAATTAGATTTTATCAGAGAGGTAATTGGTTTGTTTCCTTTTTTTAGAAGTGGGCGTTTTTTGGTTATTTGTTGTTTTTAGATCTGTCGAGATCAATTTAAGAGTTTTATTCACAAAATATCCATATTTAAAGGGACACCCCACTGCCCAAAACAAATCCTGTTTAGTAAATATACCCCAAATTAAAATATATGTGCACTTAATTATGGTGTTTTATTTTTCTTGCTTGGGGTATATCTAAACACAGCTTCCAAAAGCTGCAGAACTCCTGTCTTCTGCCTTTGCAAGCCCTCCCCTTCTTCCCCAGCCCAGATGTTGCAAGGCAAGGCTGTTGCTGCCTCTTCAGTTTAGCTCCACTGAGCTAAACAAACAAGGAAGTAACATGACCTGTTGTCTGACTGACAGCCACGGATGTGTAACAAAGTTAAATTATAAAAGTGCCAATTTCTATGGAAATCTACACGTTCTATAAAATGAAAAAATAGGACTCACTCTTCACACATAGAGCATTTCAGCAAGCTAAAGTACTTTAGGAGTACAAAGTGTCCCTTTAATATAAGACCAAGCATATTTTTGAAGCTATGCTATCTGGTTTTTGAAATATGTCTGGAACTAGATTTTATTATTATGTATTATTGTGTTATTATTGATTTATTATTACTTAACATTGTATTCATGTCCTGTTGTTGGACTGTATGCAAACCCAAAATGCTGTCATTATGCCTACGAGCATATTGTGCAAATAACTGTCACACTCCTTTAAATTGCATAATACCAATCCCATTGCATTCTTCACCTTAGCATTTAGGTGAGGTTGAACCACCGCAAGCATTTGTGAAATACCGTTCGTGTGTGAAAAATGCAAAAAACTTCACTTTTACTGAAAATATCATTGTTGTAATACAATTTACCATTTTAAAACACTAATATTTGTGTACAGCGAAGTCTCCCGAGTAAAACAGTATGCCCCATGTGCAGGTTTTATGGTGTCTTGGAAAGTTACAGGGTTAATTATAGTGCTTGTGAATGAAATTCTCTGCACTTTCTGCCAGGGTTGTCAGGCACGTCAATCAAATTTTAATTAATACAATCACATATGTAGGTCAAAAGATTACTTAAATATACACATAGAATTTTAATATATATACATATATATGTATTTAAATTCTACGTGTATACCTATGTAATCATTTATGTAATATATATGTTTATATATATATATATATATATTTGCGATTATTCGTATTTTGTATATAGATAGATATATAGAGAATGTCATTCTAAGTGTATTTTGTTACATATATATATGTATACATATTAATAACAAAATACAGTTAGAATGACATTACATATGTATATATAATTTATTTTAATTTTTTTTAAATATTTTATTTATTTATTTTCATTATTTATTTATTTATTATTGTAATTATAAGTAAATATATACATATAAAAATATATATGTATTTTATATATATATATATTTAAAATATATATGTATTTTATATATATATATATATATATATATATATATAAATATATCGTATGTATGTAACTTCATTCTAAGTGTATTGTAATACTAAAATATGTTATTATATTAACATTAAAATACACTAGTATGACGTTACATTTATATATATAAGATGTGTATATATATATATAATATATATATATATATATATATATTATATATATACATATATATATATATATATACTTTTATTTTATTTTAAACATGTTTAATTTTTTTTATACTTCCCACCAGCAGGTGAACTGTCTGACAGCCCAGACAGTCCCCCTGCTGGCAGATCCACAGCCAGCTTTAGGGGGCCATGTGATCTCTCTTTGAGAGCAGTCACATGGCCCCTGGGGGCCTGATTTGCCATGGGAGGACTGCCTGGGCTGTCAGGCAGTCCTCCCAAAGAGGATTGCGACGGAGGTAAGTACCGCGGTCCTCCAGGGGCTGAAAGTCTTTACGGCGTTCTATGCCGCCGCAACGGCTTTAAAGCCCATCAGCAGGTGATACCCCTCTAGACACTGGGAGCACAGGGTCCATGTCTGGATTACCTTTTTAACTTGGGGAGAGACAAATAAGTGCATAAAAAACCCCCCAAAGAATATGAGAACATTGTGAATAGACAAAAGTTTAAAGAGACTCAGTAGCTAGCCCTTTTGTAAATCTCCACTCAGGTCTCAAAAAATGTTTTTACTCACTTTTGCCATTACAGAGAAAACAAGTTCCATAGCATTTTAGACTGATCCCATGAATAAGGACAGTCCAGAACTGAAATGCCAGCAACTTTTGTCTGCACAAGAGATAGAGCAACCCCGGATGATCGTTTTCACCTTCTTTGGGCCTCGTCAGTGAGTTGTAGCTGATATCCCTCTATGTACAGTGGGCACAGGGTCCCCATCTGTAATACCCTTTTAACTTGGGGAGAGCAAAGTTAGTGCAACAAAAACAAACAATATGAGAACTCTGAGAATGGCTAAAAGCTTAGAGAAACCTAGTAGCTTACCCTTCGGTAAATCCCCACTTAGGTCTCAAAAAGGTTTTGCTTCCTTGTGCCATTACAGAGAGTATCAGCTCTAAGGCTTATCAGATCGTCTATAAGGGCAGTCCAGAAACCGAAATGCCAGCAAGTTCTGCACGAGATATTCAGCAACCTCGGACGATTGTTTTGACCTTCTATGGGCCTTGTCAATACTTAAATGTTGTTGCTTTCTGTTTAAAAAAAACAAACAAAGTAAACCATTGTCTTAAAATGATTATGAAGATTATGAAAATAGGAGAGGGATAGAAACAGAATATCGAGTTGCTATTAGAGGCTGGGGGGTAACCCATGATGAATAATAGTTCCAAATAGAGAGAAAGAAAGAGAAATACAGAGAAGCCTAAGGGATACAATGTGTCAGTCCCACGGGCTTCTGATATATAGATAGCAACCCTAGAATAAAACCCAACTTTTAATAGGTAGTCTTAAAAATACAACCAATATATACACAATAGGAAAGGAAAACAGCCACAGGCTGTATAAATCGAAACAAACCTATGGACAGAATAACGGACTGATAAACAAGGGGAGAAAAAAGAAAAGGAAAAAACTACATATGGAGTCTAGTATACCACCTAGACTGAATAAATGAATGGAGTTGTTAGTAGTGCAGGGATAGTAGACACTGGATACAAAATAGCCAAAATCTCCAGAATGAGGGGTCTCCCTGCTTCTAACTGCCAATGTAATGCTACTGAGTCAAATCCCCTGAGTCCCATAAGTCCGCTGTCCACTAAGTAAGAAAATAAATAAATCAAATAACATGTTGAAAAAAATTCGCTAGTAAGATACAAAGAAAGAATAAGTAAAAAATAAATAAACATAAAGGGTGGTCGATGTGGAGCTAAAAAAAAGTATATCACAGCTGCAGCATCGTCCCTGTCTATCTCCACCACCCTCTATGATAACTAGTCCCGATGCGCGTTTCGCCTGAACTGGCTCTTCAAAGGGACTACCTATTAAAAGTTAGGTTTTATTCTAGGGTTGCTATCTATACATCAGAAGCCCGTGGGACTGACACATTGTATCCCTTAGGCTTCTCTGTATTTCTCTTTCTTTCTCTCTATTTGGAACTATTGTCTTAAAATGCCACTGTCAGTGTATCCCACTGTCAATGTAAAACCTCTTCAGCAAAAATGATACATTTGTAAAAAAATAAATTAAACTCTATGTTTGTTGGTTATGATTGGTTTCTGTAACAACTGGTGACTGACTGCAGTACTTTGTTAAAGGGACACTATAGTCGCCTGAACAACTTTAGCTTAATGAAGCAGTTTTGGTGTATAGAACATGCCCCTGCAGCCTCACTGCTCAATCCTCTGCTATTTAGGAGTTAAATCCCTTTGTTTATGAACCCTAGTCACACCTCCCTGCATGTGACTTGCAAAGCCTTCCATAAACACTTCCTGTAAAGAGAGCCCTATTTAGGCTTTCTTTATTGCAAGTTCTGTTTAATTAAGATTTTCCCCTGCTATGCCAATAGCTTGCAAGACCCTGCAAGAGCCTCCTGTATGTGATTAAAGTTTAATTTAGAGATTGAGATACAATTATTTAAGGTAAATTACATCTGTTTGAAAGTGAAACCAGTTTTTTTTTCATGCAGGCTCTGTCAATCATAGCCAGGGGAGGTGTGGCTAGGGCTGCATAAACAGAAACAAAGTGATTTAACTCCTAAATGACAGTGAATTGAGCAGTGAAATTGCAGGGGAATGATCTATACACTAAAACTGCTTTATTTAGCTAAAGTAATTTAGGTGACTATAGTGTTCCTTTAAATCAGGATTTGTGGTGAGTGGAGCTAAACATTTAGAACCATATAGCAGGTAGGAAATATTGACTGCAGATTTTGCTATGTTTGCCAAAATGTTGCAATTCGGTCCATGTTGAAATATTGCAGTAGTGAAAATAGATAAAGATGGGAGTCAGATGGAAGTCATATCTATGCCTTTGTAAGGCTAACTTGAGGCCATGCTGATCCATTACTTTAAAAACTATCACATTTTACAAATATGTGCTTATCCCATTTTAACCTGTTTTGTATGCAGTGTTTGTTACTGAATCTGCAATACATTATTAAATACTAAACTTGTTTTTCCTTTAAGTTCTTTATTTATGCTGTGCATGAAGTACAGAATATGCCTACAACGCAACAACAGCATGCATAGGCACAGTAAATTCAAACAATTAGATACATGTGTGGCATAAGAAACATAGCACATTTTTGATTTGTAACAGTGGTCTGGTTAAGTTTGTCAGTCATGTCTAAGAGCATAATAATACAAAGGCTGCGTCAAAGCTGGGAAGAAATTAGACATGATGATTGTTAGTTATAGTCAGATGTCAGAGATATGTCAGCAGTTGGGTGACTTTACAATAGAGATTCATCAGGCTCGCATGCTGACACTATGGGTGATCAAAATAATATGGTCAAGATTGGCATGCTAAAAATATGTCAAAAGATCCTCGATAGAGGAAAGCAGCCTCTTCAAGCTTGGAGAGTCCTGCCGTGTTGTCAGGCTGAATAATGAGGGTTCAAGTTTCTGTAAAGTAGGTAATAATTACGATTTTGCACGAAGCTCTTGCCGTGTGTGGCTGCTCCGCTAGGCAGTCAGGCCCCTCCTCCCCACTAAACTTATTTTAAAGGAAAACTTTAACGTTAAAAATATATTTGTTTGGGGGGCGTGTCTTGGCCACCATCTTAGATGGCCACGTTATAGAGAGGCTCCTGGATAAGGGGGACAACTTTGTACCAAAAGTGCCAATTTTAATTTGAATGGAACAATTTTGAGTGAAGATACAAGAAGCAATATCAGCACTGATCATGCAGAAACAAAAGAAAAATGAAAAATCCGTTCCTGGGACGAAGAAAATGGAAGCAGGAGCGGCTGGGGTGAGTAAGGGTTCCCAGGCTCGCTCCCCTGCTTCCAAACCCGCCTCGCGGCTTGTTTCGCCGCTTAAACTTTCGTTGGTGGCGTCGGGGAAATCCCTCCCTACCTCCCTCCCGGTCTCCCTCCCCAGAACTTATGCTTGTGCGGCCGCGACCCGTCCGCAACTTCCTGAGGGCGGCGGGACCGCGACCGCACTAGCCGGCACTCCTGTGTGCGGCTCAGAGTGCTCCGAGCACTCGGCATGCTCGGAGCACAGTGCTGTGTCTCCCGCGAGCGGCAAGGACCTCCCTGCAAGCCGCTCGCGGTCTCACTCCAGGGCAGCCCGGTCGCTCACTTACAAAAGCGACCGGGCTGCTAGTAAAGGGGAGGGCAGTGTGAGGTCACGCTCCCCGTCGGGATCCTCAGCCTCCAGGCTGTCGGTCCCGGCGGGGGGGGCCTCTGCTGTCCGACCCAAAGTATTTAAAGGGGCAGCAAGGGCTACAATAAGCCCAGATGATAATTCAATGGAAATAGGGGCTGAAGTGCTCAAAAAAAGTGCCTTCTCTGCACTACCACAGAGAACACGTTATGTTGCCACAACAAAGATGGCTGACAGTCCGGATACTGTATTTTCCACTTCCAAGATGGCCGCTGCCACCTCCAATATGGCTACTACCACATTTAAAGCTGCGACCTATAATCCTAATATGCCACTTGAATTGGCAGCAGACCTGCCACCGTCAGCTGGCATGATAATTCAACTTATCAAAGATTTGAGAGTTGATTTGAAAAATGACTTTAAAAATGACTTTGACACATTATATGGAGCCATGGAGGGCATTAATCAGCGTACAGAAATAATAGAGAATAAATTGCACTCTCAAGAGCAATCTCATCTGGATCTGGTTGAAACCGTAAAAGAGCTCCAAAAGCAAGTGCACCAACAAGCAGAAAAGCTTGCCGACGCTGAAGATAGAAGTAGGCGTAATAACCTAAGGATCAGGGGGATCCCAGATAATATCGACTCCCAGGATTTACAAAGCTATTTCCAGACAATGGTGAAGTCAGCTCTACCAAACGCAAAAAATACGGATTTATTACTGGATCGCATTCATAGATTGCCCAAACCCAGCAATGCTCCTCCAGCTGCACCCAAAGACGTGATAGTGAGATTCCACTACTATCACATTAAAGAAGAATTTCTAGGTGCAGTACGCACGTCAGGTCTCGCAGGAGATTACAGCAGCATGAAGGTCTTTCAAGACTTTTCTGCTCAAACAATGAAGCGACGCAGGGAATTTCAACTTTTTACTGCGGAGCTAAGACGAAGAGGGATAAGATATAGATGGGGATTCCCGGTTAAAGTCCTTTTCCGCATGGATGGTCGGAATTTTATAGTCACGTCGCCTGAAGAAGGAATGGAACTCATCAATACTATGAATGGACGTCAGGTTTCGCCTCATAGACTCTCGCCATCTACTCCTGTTCAGGCCAGCAAGAGAAGCAAATCGGACACCTCCTGAGATCCCAGCCCAAAGAGGCATAGTTTTCCTTTTCTATGGTCATCATCGAGTCCTGCTCCAGTCCGGCGATTTATCGGGATTACTTTGAATTTTGATTTGTTTCTCCTTTTTATGACAGACTTCTGAGTTCTTCCACTAACGGTTATTTGTCCTGTGCCTTTTCGGTTTATTTTAGAAACCGATCTTTCTATTTAAAACTTTCTAAACTTATACAATCAAAATATTTTTTATTTAATTAATTTTTTTTTTTATATAATTTCATATTTATTTAATTTTATAATTTTTTTTAATTTTTTTTTTTTTTTTATTGTTCTGTGCTTTTTACCTTTTCAATTGTCATACTTGAAAAGTTGCTTTTTGATTTTTACTACCTATATTAGCTCCCCCTGCACCCGGTAGCCTTCTCTCCCCCCAACCTGGGCCTAACACCCTGAGATGGAGAAACTTTTTTTGTTCTCCCTCATGGCCCTCTTTCACTGTTTTTGTTTTACCCCTGATAGGGGTATATATCCAAGTTTTTTGTTCCCCTTTTTTATTCTTTTATATTTTTTGTCCATTCATCATTTAAAGTTCAGTAGAAATGTTTTTAGACCACGAAACACTGCAATGCTTCATACAAAAATGCATAATACATGGCATCTGCAAATTGTAAACATCTGTTTACTCATTATTCCTGTACACACAAGTACACAGCTTGAGTTTGCTTTAATAGCTTTGTTGGACTTGCATGTTTCTCTCTTGGAAGGTGGTGGCTGGGACTCTCACAAGATTGAATGTTCCTTTACCCTTTATCAGGTATATAAACCATGGTCTTAAAATATATGTCATTTAATGTGAGAGGCCTGAACACCGCCCACAAGAGACGATTATTATTCAAAGAAGCAAAATCCAACAAATCAGATGTGCTTTGTGTACAGGAAACACATTTTAAAGATGATAAAGACCATAAAATCATGTCAAAGCTTTTCCCAGTTCAATACCATTGCACTTATAAATCCAAGTCTAGAGGTACATCGATTTTTTTTCACAGGAATGTAGCATGCTTGACAAACAAAGTTATAAAGGATGATGACGGGAGGTATTTAATATGGATAGGATCACTTAATACTATTGAATATACTATTGTGAACATGTATTTTCCAAACACCGGTCAGTTGCAGTTTTTTAGGAAATTGATGGACTTAGTGAATGAGAATGTGAGAGGCAACTTGGTAATGTGTGGTGACACGAATTTTGTGATGGATGGAGAGTTGGATAACGCTAGGGAAGACCGTGATCGACAGCTTAGAGGGGACAGTGACAGATTAGCGTATAAATGTTCCAGATATATGATTGAATGTGGCTTATACGATCCTTGGAGATTGTTGCATGAGAATGAAAGAGATTTTACGTATTATTCTGTCTCTAAAAATATGTATTCCAGGCTGGACCGGTTTATGGTCCAGGGTGCTTTAATTCCGCACATCTTGAAATCTGATATCTTAAACATCAACTGGTCCGACCATGCTCCAATCATAATGCATATTGACGAAATTGTCTCATCAGCCCCTAACAGAACTTGGAAATTAGGTGATTATTTGTTAAATGATGTTGTGAACAAGTCACTGACGGAGAAAGCTTTGTGTGATTATTTTTCAGAGAATGCCTCGCCCGAGGTTCCTGACGAGGTGACTTGGAATGCGCATAAGGCTGTGTTAAGAGGTCATTTTATTTCTAGAGCGTCTTACCTGAAGAGAATTAATAGCAATAATTTAAGAACATTGGAAAAAGAACTGTATAATTTGAACCAAGCTAATAAATTTGGTCCATCGCCCTCCCTATCAGCAATGATAGGAGAAATTAAGGCTAAAATCAACAAAATTAATTTAGATCGTACATCTCTATGGTGAGACGTCTCAGGAAAACATTTTACTTAAAAGGTAACAGGGCCTCAACTCTTTTGGCATCCAAACTCCGGCATGTGAATGCCCAATCAAAAATAGCATATTTAATTGATGATCAGGGGCAAAAAGTGTTTCATCCAACTAGAATTAGTGATATGTTCGCAGAGTATTATAGTAAACTTTATAATTTAGAATGTAATTTGGACCCCCCCCAGCCTTCTACAACAATAATTGATAAATTCTTAGACAGAGTGTCATTGCCTCGGCTTTCTCCAGTACATTTAGAAAGCTTAGAATGTGAAATATCAGCAGCAGAGATAGCTGAGGCAATTAAACTTATGCCATCTGGAAAAGCCCCTGGTCCCGACGGATTAACTATTTTATATTATAAAACTTTTCCAGAAATTTTAATTCCCCATATGACTAAATTGTTCAATTCCTATAAGTCCGAGGGAAAGATGCCAGAGGAGTCCTTGTGCGCACGAATAGTCACTTTGCCAAAGCCAGGGAAAACTCCCGATAGATGCCCTAACTTTAGGCCCATTTCTCTGATTAATAATGACTCAAAGATTTATTCTAAAGTTCTCGCTAATAGATTAACCAAACTAATCCCATTGTTAATTAATAAAGATCAAGTAGGTTTTGTGCAGAATAGACAGGCGCCAGATGGAACTAGAAGATTCATAAACTTGATTCAGCACATCAATATGACCAAAACGCCTTCTTTGCTTCTATCTCTTGACGCTGAAAAAGCGTTTGACAGGATACATTGGGGATATTTATGGAGAACATTGGATAGGTTCAACATACCATCATCATTTATCACAGCAATTAAGGCGTTATATTGTGCACCCTCCGCCCATGTCTCAGCTTCTGGCTTCACATCCAAAACTTTTTCCCTAACTAACGGGACGAGACAGGGGTGCCCTTTATCTCCAATTTTGTTTGTTTTAGCGATAGAACCCCTGGCAGAACTGATTAGGACAACCCCACAAATTGTAGGAATTGCAGTTAAAGAATCCGTTCACAAAATTGGTTTGTTTGCAGATGATATAATCCTATCTATCAAAAACCCAAAAGAATCTTTGAGACACCTTAAGGATATTTTAACTCAATTCGGTGAGATATCGTATTACAAATTAAATGAGTCCAAAACTCAAGCCCTTCCGTTTCATTTAAACAATTTGGAAACCATTGCCCTTAAGAAATCATATTTATTTGATTGGAGAACTGAATATATGGAATATCTTGGCATTAATTTATGCAAAAATTTGGTCAATATGCACAATCATAACCTGAGGAAAGCATGGTCAGACCTACAAAAAGAGATGGAGAGATGGGGTGGGATGGAGCTCTCATGGCTGGGGAGGGTCGCATCTATTAAAATGACGATACTCCCCAAAATTTTATATTTTTTTAGGACCATTCCTCTGTCCATTCCATTATCATTTTTTAATAAAGTTCATTCGACAATGTTGAAATTTATATGGGGGAACAAGCCTGCCCGAGTGAGGCTCACTTCCCTGCAGCACCATAAATTGAACGGAGGTATCGGTGTCCCCGATATCCGCAAATATTATTTCGCCACTAATGCTGCAGTGGTTGTGAGCTTTAACAACCAGGATGATAAACCCAGATGGATGGAGATAGAGGAATCAAAAATTTCACCGGTTAGACTATCAGAATTACCTTGGTTAAATCCTAAGAAAAGACCTGGAATTACAAAATTATTTTTATCCACTAGGACTACGCTTAAGGCCTGGGACATTGTTTTTAAAAATGACCAGTCTCCCAGTTTATATAGAGCAATGCCTATTGAATTATTGAAAGATCATATACCATCCTTAAAAATAGAATTATTGAAGGATTGCTCTATAACTAATCTGGACAATTTTTTTTATGGCAATGCTATTCTTTCTTTGGAAAAATTGAAGCTTAAGTATGGATTGTCGAATGCATGTGAACTGGAATGTATGATAATCATTGATAAATTGAAAGAACTATACCAGGTACCTGAAACCGATAAAAATTATAAATCACTTGAGATATCTCCTTTAGAGAAAGTTATTTTATACAGCCCCGCTAGTAAAGGTATGATATCCTTATGTTACTTATCTCATAATGCCAAGCCCTTAATTAAATTAAAACATATGCTGTCATGGGAGACGGAGTTGGGTGCCCAGTACGATTTAGAAGAATGGTTCGGTTTCTTTACAGGTTTAAAAGGTATTTCGTATTGCACCGACCATTTTGAAAATCATTATAAAATCTTATATCGCTGGTACCTGGCTCCGTCTAGATTACATAACATGAACAATATGTATTCTGACCGGTGTTGGAGAGACTGTGGGGGAGTGGGCAATATGGCTCATATCTGGTGGTTTTGCCCCAAGTTAATTAATTATTGGAAAATGATCCACGATCTGATTATTAAAGTGAACGGAACCATTAGTATCTTAACCTCGGAACTAGCCTTATTTAAAAAACTCCCGGAGTCTGTTAATAGATCAGATAAAATAATCATAGGCCACATTCTGATCGCTGCTACATCCTGTTTACCTAGACATTGGAAGTCTCAAAATGTGCCATCTCTCAGAGAAGTTTTTAATTTGATTTTAGAAAATAAGGCACATGAACTATCACACAGAGCCAATATGCATGGTTTCCCAATACTAAAATACAACTGGGATAAATGGGAAGAAAAAAATCAAAACAGTTTATGGTCTTTGATATATTTATTGTTAAAGTGCATTGTTGTAAAACATTTTTCCTTTTGCCTTCTACTTTAATATGTTTATTTCATTGATGGATGGATACCCCTTCCCATTTCCATGTTACCCCTCCTTTCCTACCCTTAATACAATGTTTGTATTATTATCATTTGTTATACAAAAAAAAACTTTAATAAAAATTATTTGAAAAAAAAAATATATATTTGTTTTAGAATCAGGACCCATAATTGTCACGATCTTCCAATCCAATGCTTGTCTAAGAATTATTAGCTGTATTTGGCGTCTTCATTAACAGTAGCCAGTGAAGAAGTCATTAACATTTACTAACCTTACAAAACTACCAACACTAAAATGATCCGTTAATTTTATGTTAGTAAACACATTAAAACTATCATGGGATACAAGATGAAAATCAGAAAATGTTATTGATCTACTATTGACAGAGGATTGTAAGAAACCATTATTTTTGAAATATTACAGTTCTTAACTATGGACCATTTTATCTAAATACAAGTGAATATTATGTTTTGTTTTGTTATAATTTTCTTGTAGATAGCTTTTTTTTTTTCTTTTCTTTTTTTTACTGACAGGGGTTAAGAAAAAGACAGTGATATAAACATGTATGCTATTGGTATGTGGGAATATAACAGGCATGTGTACGCAGTATCCCAATTTTTCTGTGGTGAAGTAATTCCACCTTGTATATATTTTTAAACTCCCTTTTCCATAACTATTTTAAGGTACTGGAGCCGTTGACTCAAGAGGTGAGAAATGGAAGGAGGACATTTCCGTGGACCCTCTCGTACCTTGCTGAATTGCTCGAGTGATGACCAGCTTTGCCGTAAGCATATTCATTGTGCTCAGTTCAGAAACCTGTTAATAAAGCAAGCATTTTGTTAAAGGACCACTCTAGGCACCCAGACCACTTCAGCTTAATTAGGTGGTCTGGGTGCCAGGTCCCTCTAGGATTAACCCTTTTTTTTTTTATAAACATAGCAGTTTCAAAGAAACTGCTATGTTTATAAATGGGTTAATCCAGCCTCTAAAGCCTCTAGTGGCTGTCTCATTGACAGCCGCTAGAGGCGTTTGCGTGATTCTCACTGTGAAAATCAGTGAGAAGACACAAGCGTCTATAGACTGGCTGAATGCGCGCGCAGCACACCCTCAGGGCACTATAGTGCCAGGAAAACGAGTATGTTTTACTGGCACTATAGTGGTCCTTTAAGTTTTACAGGTCTAATTATTTTTCACGTGCCAGGTCACATTTGAGCATACAGTATACTCACTGCCCTTCTTGCAAGATCTCCATACATGAGCTTAAAAGAACTTTGGGTTGTTATTTCATTACAAGGGAATGCAGACCCTGGCCTGCTAAAAATCATTGTAGTCTAGATGGCTAAATATTACAATATCATTTTTTAATAGGTGGCTGTTGCCTGTTTAGTGACAGTTTATATTTTAAGTACATGCAATAACAATTATTTAGGCACAATTAAATATACCTTATTGATTTTAAAGGAATTTTGTCATTATAACAACTTCTTCTTCTCATTGAAGTTGTTATGGTGCCCAGAGTCCCACAGCACAGTCTTCCCTTTGAGTGTTGAACCCTTCTCAAACTGATTCGATACTAAACATGAGTGCCTAGGCACAAGTCTCTCCCTCTGACACGCTCAGTCTATCACAGGCTGGCAAGTATGAGTAAATGACAGAATTGCATATTTATCTGCTCACCTTGTGTGAATACTGATAAGCTGACATTCTTAGCCAATCACTGGCACCTCCTCACTAATTATGCTAATGCTTACACACTAGCCTGCGCAACGAAAGATATCGGCACCTGAAGGCACATCTTTAGTGTTAACCTGTTTGAGATTGGTTTACCATTTAAAACTAGGGGACTCCAGGCACCATTACAATGTAATTGTAATGAAGTTGTTATGGTGCCTGAAGGATTTAAAACCTCAAATCCTCTTCCACATTTTCTTATAGCGACACAATCTAAATTATTACAAAATATTTATTATTAAATGAATAAAATCCTCTTCTATATTTTGAAGATTAAAGGAGCACTATAAGTCCAGCGTCTTACAGTGAAAAACGCGGAAGCACCTCTAGCGGCTGTCAATGAGACAGCCAGTAGAGGCTGGATTAACCCTCAGTGAAACATAGCAGTTTCGCTGAAACTGCTATGTTATCAGCTGCAGGGTTAAAACTAGAGGATCCTGGCACCCAAACCACTTAATTGAGCTGAAGTGGTCTGGTGCCTATAGTGGTCCTTTAAGAAAAAAAAAGTTACCCATTTTTTTGTTTTATGAAAAATGATTCTTGCCTACAGGTGGCTTCTTGGAGCAGGGGATTCAGAATAAATTGTTACACACCAGTACAAAACAAAATTACCTACTTAATTGCTGGTCTAATGAATAACCATATCTGTGATAGTGCATGTCCATTTGATTGTTTATAGTATCCCTTTGGAATCCTGTCAATAGGAGATTGCTACTCTGATTGGGGATTAGTGCCTTTATTAAATAGAATCTGAGCAATGTGAGAGTTTGCAATTTTATTTTATTCTGGAGTACTATGTATTTATAAATATCAATATATTTTTTCCAGAACACAACTATTCTAAGCCATGAATGCCAACAGTAGTAGCAAGATATTTTTATAATTGAACAAGCTAGCTTATTGTAGCAAAGTAAAATCATTTTCTCATGTCTGTAGGTGTCCAAACATATGAGCCTGAGGTGATTATCGTTCCCGTGTTATTTGTTGGAGTCAGTGTGATTCTGTTAGCAGCTATATTTTGTCTACAGTACCGAGCACGGAAACAACGAGATCATGAGAAACAAGGTATGTTCTTTAATCATCCATTTACCTCGTCTGAAACCAATTCCACATGTGAAAATTCTCCCTTATAATTGACAGAGGTGCAATCCAATTAAAGTGTGTTTGACATCTCAAATGCATGCTTTTCACTAATATCCAAATAATACAGAAGGTTTGTATGTGCCAGTGAACATTGATTGTTATGACACAGAGCCTGTATACATCTGTGCACTCAATAAACTATACAAGAATGAATGGGAGTGGCTTACATATACAAAATGCAGGTGTCATTGTCTTTAACTGAAGTCAGTGAAGGGTTGTATGGCTGTACTGCGCATGCATTAGTCTATATCATTAACTTGTATGGGGAGACAATACACAGCTTACATGTGAATATTTATCAAGGCCTGTGTCTAAGCCAAGATCATTGGTCACTGTATGTGCAGTAAAATGTGTGTATATGGTCAAGTGCCTACATGACTCATATTAATTAGGAAAAAGTACCAACCAACCCCTTCATTTAAACATGTGAAATGAGGTATGATTTAATAGGTGAGCTTGTGCTTAACATCTTCTCTGACTAAGTAGGACTCCCTCCCCCTACCTCCCATTAAAGGGACACTATAGGCATTTAGACCACTTCAGCTCATTGAAGTGGTCTGGGTACATAGCCCTAGGTCCCTTAATACTGGAAAGATAATTATTGCAGTTTTTAATAAAATGCATTAATTACCTTTGAGGGTTAACTCCACCTCTAGTGGCTGTCTATCAGACAGCCACTAGTGGGACTTCCAGGTGGTAAGGCGACTTCTGGTCGCCTAAGTGTCACTAGACGTCTTCACGCTATGCATGAGGACATCCAGCATCATGTAAAGCCATATAGGAAAGCATTATACATGCTTTCCTATAGGGAAAATACTAATACAAGCGCAGCCATTGCCACACATGCGCATTAGGTCACCCCCGCTGGCTGACGTTACTGGGGAAGGAGTGGAGGCAGAGCCAGAGGGACATTGGCGCTGGACTCAGTTAAGTGACAGAAGGGGTTTTGCGCTATAGTTTCCCTTTAACTACAATGTAAAGGGGTTCCCCAAAACTCTTAATCTAGTGACCTGGAGAGTCCTGGAATAAAATACATCAAAACCTTTATGGTTCTTCTATACATGTTCTATCTATATTTTGGCTTGGGGGTATATATCTTCCAAAAACAGAAAATATATTTTCCTACTAATTAAATTCAACTTCACCTCCTGCCATCTAAATCAGGCACCTGTGAAAGATTAAAAATACATAAAAAAATATTCAATGCAGCTTTCAAACAATTTACAGAAACTATCTGCAATCATGGATTTGTGAGAAAATTAAAGTTCGGCTTTAACACTAAGGTTCACATCCGCTTTCTGTAAAGACAGCAGGTAAATGTCTTTGTTCGTGACTCAATATCACATTGAAATCCCAGAATTTCACCCTAAACTGACAAATGTTGTGTTAATTCACATGCCATTCAGAGTTTCCTAAATGTCAAAATGTTTAAGTGAAGGGTTTTGGAGATTCACGGATATATTTTTAGGTGGGGATTATAGTGCTCAGAATAGTAAGCTCTCTATATAGTTTGACCATTGCATTCCCTTTATTTCTTTGTGTTTTTACTTATACAGTAACGCTGTGACATGCATGTCTGATTGCTCCAGAGCCTCTATGAAACTATAATATCCAATTCTGAACTATTACTTTGATGGTTATTTTTTCCGTATGACACGTTTCTAATACATAGACATAGCTTCACCTCCCTTTTGTATGAAACAATTAACAATGTCCTCTTTTTAAAATCTAATTCATTTTTATGTTCCCTCAGTAATTTAAGCGAAAGTTTCACCTCCAGCCTACAATGCCCACCTTTTTTTCTCTTCCCCCCAAAAATAATGGGTTACCTTCCTCAGTAATCATATATGAAATAAAAAAAAACTTATATTAACATATGTTGCAAAATAAGTCTTACAGTCATATTGCTTTTGAAACACATCATTCCCCATAGGTGTATGGTGGTTTTGCAATAATATTTTGTTTATGAAAAAATGTAAAATCCAGACGGTCATTATTTCTTTTACAAATCATTGAACGCCGATAATAAAAGAAATACTACTTTAATTTGAAGTTTGTACGATGGCACTCAAAATCTCGTCTTTAATTGGTTAACTCCCGACACCTAAAATTTATAAGACTATGCACCTGTATCTGATGAAAGGCTGTTAGAGGCACATATGTTCCAATTAGCAGAGACAGAAAGTAAAAAGCAAACTGCAAATTGTTAGTGACAATGTGTTTATTTTAATATCAGGATGGTTGCCCTGGTAATCTTTTGACCCTCAGTGGAGTCTCTCTGGGTTTTTGCTATGTTTATGAAGTCAGCCCTCTACTCCATGCTACTTGCTACACAACTGATCTAATTCTTAAATATATGGAAATAGCGCCTGTGCAATTCTAATTGACTATTAAATATACCTGTGGTTTAATTTCAGTTTTGATAATATCCTGAGAAATATGTTTTTCTTTACAATTACTTATTTGTGAAGCAATTTTCCCTTACCTTTCTGCATGTGTGGTCATCACCGGAATTGTAAGCAGTTGCCACTCTGGCCAATAATTGACATATGTCAGAATGCAGCCCTCCAATCACAAACCGTTACAGATGTGGCCTACAACTGCTGGTTAACTAGAATCCTGACACTGCATATAATTTGCACGATATCATTGTAGGACAGTGATGAATAATCTTGGTGGTCCTTATTTTGTAAATAGAATACATGGAACCCGGCTAACAGAGTCAGTTATACTACTGAGAAAATGATCAAAGGGCATGAATTATAAAACATAACAGGTAATGGGAGTAAAAAGTCCCACTTACCCATTTGAAAAACGAGACAAAAGGCTCAGGAACCCCCAATCCTGGAAACATCTGGGGGAAAAACAAACTAAATTAGATTAGTTAGGTTGGCTAGTTTCGGATCCCCGGGTCCTTACCCAGAGGTCTAAAAAGCATTACGAAGTTTAGTTTGACCTTTTACTTCTGTTTGTCTTTTTTCTATTTGTGTCAAATAAACTAAGTTTGGCCTTCTGAGCGCATTTGTTTGTTTTTCCTCAGTCCCTACTTTGTCACATGACATCTTTAGTTTCCGTTGCTATTTCAATAAAATTACATCAAAACCAATACTAGTATTTCATAAATATTTTATGACATACTAAGTGACAGAGCTACTGTGAAGTAGCCAAGTTGGGTAAATGTCTATTCAGCTGATTTAGTAGCTATATTTTCAATTTCAGCCTTGCCTCAACTCAATACAAAGACACTGTTGTACTCTCTGTATTTCTTTTTTTTAACCCCTTAAGGACCAAACTTCTGGAATAAAAGGTAATCATGACATGTCACACATGTCATGTGTCCTTAAGGGGTTAAACTTGAACAAAAAGCTGTTTCTTATACAGGCAGCTAAGATCTTGTTTGTTTGTTTTTTCACCCTCATTCTCAAATATTATACTTGTTAAGATGATCGATGCCATGTCTGTTGTATATACAGGGTGTATGTAAACCCTGTGAATAGGTTAGTTCTCAGAGCTTTTTAAGCCAGTTAGCCTTTTCATTTTAACTATATGCATCAATTAAAGGCAGAAATCCTGTTGAATAAACATTGTTAAACAAAACTGCTTGCATTGTAATTCAGAAAATATGTGTATACAGGGTGCAGTCACAGTGGTGCACTTTGCAATCAGTGTCCCCAAATGCATAGAGGGGAAACCTGTTCTGAGTGTAGCAATGTGTATACACTTTACATTGGTTTCATTACTAGATGCCTCCTATTTTTTTTTAAAAAAATGTTTAATAGGAGTGTTCATTATGCTTAAAAATAACATTACATACTACTTTTGGGGGGGGGGGCTATTGTGTAGCTTTTAAGATATTTTTCATAGTAATCTGAAAGTAATGGCATGTCTAAATAAGCCCTTTTAAAAAAAAATTAAACTGCTTGGTTACACAATTAAAAGCACCACATATACAGTAAGGGGGGGGAAAGTATTTGATCCCCTGCTGATTTTGTACGTTTAGCCACTGACAAAGAAATGATAAGTCTATAATTTTAATGATAGGTGTATTTTAACAGTGAGAGACAGAATAAAAAAATAAATAAAAAATCCAGAAAAACATATGTCAAAAAAGTTATAAATTGATTTGCATATCAATGAGTGAAATAAGTATTTGATCCCCTATCCATCAGCAAGATTTCTGGCTCCCAGGTTCATTTTAAACAGGTAACAAGCTGAGATTAGGAACACTCTCTCTTAAACGGAGTGCTCCTATTCTCAGCTCGTTACCTGTATAAAAGACATCTGTCCACAGAAGCAACCAATTTATCAGATTCCAAACTCTCCACCATGGCCAAGACCAAAGAGCTGTCCAAGGATGTCAGTGACAAGATTGTAGACATACGCAAGGCTGGAATGGGCTACAAGACCATCGGCAAGCAGCTTGGGGAGAAGGTGACAACAGTTGGTGCAATTATTCGCAAAGGGAAGAAACACAAAATAACTCTGTCTCCTTCGGTCTGATGCTCCATGCAAGATCGCACCTTGTGGAGTTTCAGTGATCATGAGAACTGTGAGGAATCAGCCCAGAACTACACAAGAGGATCTTGTTAATGATCTCAAGGCAGCTGGGACCATAGTCACCAAGAAAACAATTGGTAACACACTACACCGTTAAGGACTGAAATTCTGCAGCGCCCGCAAGGTACTGATGCTCAAAGCACATGTACAGGCCCGTCTGAAGTTTGCCAATGAACCTCTGAATGACTCAGAGGAGAACTGGGTGAAAGTGTTGTGGTCAGATGAGACCAAAATCGAGTTCTTTAGCACCTACTCAACTCAGCAGTGTTTGAAGGAGGAGCAACGTGCCCATGGCCCCAAGAACACCATCCCCACTGTCAAACATGGAGGTGGAAACATTATGCTTTGGGGTGTATTTCTGCTAAGTGGACAGGACAACTGCACCACATCAAAGGGACTTGGAGAGAATCTGCAAAGAGGAGTGGGATAAAATCCCTCCTGAGATGGGTGCAAACCTAGTGGCCAACTGCAAAAAAAAGGTCAGACCTCTGTGATTGCCAACCAGGGTTTTGCCACCAAGTACTAAGTTGAAGGGGTCAAATACTTATTTCACTGATTGACATGCTAATCAATTTATAACTTTTTTGACATGCATTTTTCTGGATTTTTTGTTTTGTTATTGTGTCTCTGATAAAATACACCTACCATTAAAATTATAGACTGATCATTTCTTTGTCAGTGGGCAAACGTTCAAAATCAGCAGGGGATCAAACACTATTTCCCCTCACTGTACACTGTAATAAATAAGGAATACCAGGTTTTTAAAAATGTGGTTTTATGAAAAACTAGGCACTTTAAGTGAGATGAAGCCGTTACATGGCCCATGTTTGAGGGAGGGGGAAAGGCGGGGGGCACGATAGCAACATCTGTAGCCACTACTCTATGTTTGGCATGGAAGAAAACAAAGGTTAGATTATAAAGTTTACAATGATGTTGTAGAATTACTGACTAGTTTACATTTTCATTGTATTATTATTATTGATTATTCTCTTTAACTCAGCAGAAACATTTACTGATTTGTATCCTGCCCTGATTTTGATATTATCTGCAGATGCACAATCGCAACAAAGATTAGGTCATCAGACCTCAACAATATCTCTGGAGGATTTGTCCTTGGAGTCTGTTTTGAGAACAAAAGATGCCTCTCTCCAGACTTTGGAGACGCCAAGGGAAAATATTAGGAGACCTCTCCAGCTGGTTGGAGAAGGAAGGTTTGGTCCTATCTACAGAACCGTGCTAAGAGACCCAGAAGGAGGACGAGAAAGAAACATAATCATCAAGCAGTTAAGAGGTAAGACCAATTCTAGAGAAAACGTTTTAAGGTGTTAGCTGCTATATTTATATAGTATTTTACCAATTTATTGTTAAAATGTTTTTAAAAAATAACTTCTTCTGATCCTGATCCAGGTCACTGATCCTGAGTGCAGAATATTTCAATGTCTTATATTGATATAGCTAAATAGCTTTTTGCTTATCACATCTTCTTTCCCTCTCCCTTTAGATATCGGCTCCTTTTATATGCCTCATCCCTTTCATTATAGTCATAAGAAACATAGCTTGAGTTAATATTTTTAATATATGCTTTTCAAAAAAAAATTCAAAATATAAAAATATAGCATATGTCAGAAAATAGAACAATATATAAAAAATATTAAAATACCTTTTAAAGTATCCAATCATTTTAAAAGTTTTTTTTTTAAATATGAAATCATTTGAAAAAGTATCCAAAAATATAAAATTGAGACCATAGTTATTAAAAGTCTAGGGAAATGTGGTTACTAGGAATGACGATTAACCATAACACTGCAGATGGTGATGGAACATACTTACCATTCCCAACATTCTAAGCTAGTTGTTTTATGTATATGTGTCTGCATACAGAATTTGTATACTTCTGTATAATGTGTGTACGATGACCTGCATATATGATGTTGTGTGCAGAGAGCTATGGGGCTGTAAGGGTATGGAAAGAGCGAGATTGGTAAGATATGACAGGGTGGGTTAGTGTGGCTATATGGAGACATGTGTCTGGGTAGTGATAAAGGCTCAGAGAGGAGATAAAACGTTGTCACCACTTTCTGGTTTCAAATAAAAAGCCTTTTAGAAGAAAACTCAACTGTGCCTGGATATTTATTTTCTTCCATTTTATATCTTCAGGGATTGGCCCTCCCTTTCTGGAGCACCCTGCAGGAAGCATTTCTCCTTTTTAGTGTGTACATTATATTACAAACAACTGTGGGTGGGTGAATATGACTGAGCTGGTTAATATATGTAATTCAGCAGTGAGGGGGGTGAATAAAATAATCTATGGGATTGCAGACACAGTAAGCCTGCCTTCAGAGAAGAGGCATCTGATTGCTTGCCCACCCCTTTCTCCGCCAGCGTACCCATGGTGTACATGTACTATGATCTGTGATGCTACGACCAGAATTCTCTTTGTGCTCGTCTCACTTTCTTTTTTTATGTGCTTCCCTTTAGCAACTGCTGAACCTCGTGAGGTTCGTTATTTCCTAAAGAGGGCAGCATTTCAGCCTTGGTTGGGCCAGCACGCACATCTTGTTGATATGCTTGGATGCTGTTCTCTACAAGAGCCATTTTATATTATACAAGAGAACTTGGAGCCAGGATCCCTTCTGAACTTCTTATGGGATTGCCGCAGGGTAAGTAGTAATAGAGGCAAACAAAACAAAGGTTTATTTTATTTATTTTTTATGGCAACGCTTATTTATTTGTAAACTGGGACTGTCATATCCATTAATTCACTAGACACCTATTGTAGATGTGAAATTGTTTTGTGTGTCCCGTATTTGAACCTCTTAGCAGAGTGCTGCTTAAGAATGGCTTTACAGATTTTATCCTTATGCTGTTTCCACATTAAATAAGATATCATTTGTATAAATGGACTCATCACCAGGTTTAAACATTTATGACAATACTGATTGAAAACCCTAAAAGGAAAACTTATAAAATTGTGACCCGTAGAAAACTGGACCATTCACCAGACAAATCAACGTAAATTGTCTGAAGATTCCATTGTTTTCCATGGTGATTGTTCCATGTTTAAAACTTTACCCCATTTTTTTCTGTTTGCAACATTTTATAAAGTTCCTTTAATGAAACTATTATATGTTCTAAATGTAATAATTGTATCCTTCAGGATGTGATGTCAATGGATGGAATTCTGTATGATATTACAGAGTGTCAAGTGTACAGCATAGCCCTTCAGATCCTTTCAGCACTGGTACGTGTAGTCCTGACCAAGTGTTTTCCATGTATTCCTTTCTGTTTACTTCGAACTCCCACATCTGTCACAATCTCAATTAGCATTTGTAACATTTGTGATATTTAAAATGCTGTTGATTTAAATGGATCATAACAAAAAAATATATATATATACGATTGATTGCATAGTTTAAATATCAGACGTTAGAGTAGGATGTGAAGGAAGGTGCAAATGTACTAAATAAAAGAAAACTCACAAAAATGTACGCAAGAAATTGTGCCACATTACAGTTCCAGATAAAGCAGTTTCATCCTTGAACACAGAAATGAGAATAGAAAAAAACCAATTAAAAGGACAACATAGGCACAAAAAATCACTTCCTCCTAATGAAGTAATTATTTTTGGTTATATTTTTCTCTAAGAGTCATTTCGAGGACTCTATAATCATTGGATAGATTATGGTTCAAGAAGGTCCTCTGTCCTTGCATCTAATTATTTTAGGCATTTATAAAGCGCCAACTTATGCCACAGTGCTTTAACAATAGATTAGAGAATTACAAATAAAATAAAATAAAACTTATCCTGGGAGGCCATAAGCTATTCTGATTAGATAAGTCTTGAGGGACTTCTTAAATGATTGGAGACTAGGGGAGAGTCCAAGGGGGGTAGGCAGGCTGTTCCAAAGAAAAGGAGCTGCCTGCCAGAAGTCCTCCCTTATAAGGGAGCGAGCAGTGGACAGAAGAAGGTCACTGGCTGAGTGGAGTGACTGAGAAGGGGCGTACCTACAAATTAGTGAAGAAATGTAGGGGTGGCTAGAGTTGTTTAGCGCATTATAGGTAAATTTTGGCATTTCGAATTGACTCCTTTAGTGTACTGGAAACCAGTGTAAGGATTGACAGAGGGGTGAGGTGTGAGCATTCATTATGAACTGAAGTGAGGCAATATGGTTTCTGGGGAGACCAATTAGGAGAGAGTTACAGTAGTGAATGCATGATATTACTAGAGTATGAACAAGCTCCTTGGCAACATCTGGCATAAGAAAGGGGTGGACACGGCAATGTTTGTAAAGTGGAATTATATAGTTGTTTGTAACAGAAGTGATTTGAAAATATTGATGCAGCAGATCTGATGAGAGGTCTGTACCTAGGGGCTGAACTGCGTATCCCATAAATCCCCCTGGATTTCTTTTTTTGGGATCTTTTATGATAATGCTGAGTACATGTAACTGAGAATAATTCCCATTTGAATGTTTTCTTCTCCAGGAGTTCTTGCACCAGCGCAATCTACTACATGGCGACGTGGCAGCACGTAATGTCCTCATCCAAAGTAATTTTACTGCAAAACTCAGTGGATTAGGTGGAGCCTGTGATATGCGACTGAGAGGGACTTTTCCATCTCGGCGCCCCGCACCACTTAAATGGATGGCCCCAGAGCGTCTTCTTCATTTACCTCTATCTGTAAAATCTGATATGTGAGTTCTCTCTGTTTGTCTGTCAATATTAATATACATTAACCAATGTTTGATTAGTAGATAGCATTTAATAAACATAAAAGCTCAATTTTATATTGGATTAGGTGTTTAAAATTTTTTTAAAAAAAAATACTCCCAACTTTTAAAGTTATGCGAGGAATAGGAAGGGGGCTGTGTTGGTGATGTAATGCGCAGTAGTGGGGGACAGGATTTCTGGAGAAGCGTTTCAGTCTGGCTTACAAGTTAGAATTAACAGCCGGAAAAAGGATGTAATGTGCTTGGAAATATATGTCAAGCACACAGAACAGGCAGTGAAAGTGGAAAAAAAAGATTTTAAAATATCATAATTACTGCAGAGCAATTTTAAAGTAAAAAAATTATATTTTATTAAATCTTTTCATGTGACAACACTGAAGAAATGACACTGCTACAATGTAAAGTAGTAAGTGTACAGCCTGTATAACAGTGTAAATCTGCTGTCCCCTCAAAATAACTCAACACACAGCCATTAATGTCTAAACCGTTGGCAACAAAAGTGAGTACACCCCTAAGTGGAAATGTCCAAATTGGGTCCAATTAGCCATTTTCCCTCCCCGGTGTCATGTGACTCGTCAAGGTCTGTCAAGGTCTCAGGTGTGAATGGGAGCAGATGTTATCACCATTTAGGTGACTAGGGTAAATTTGGTGTTATCACCATTTAGGTGACTAGAGCCCCGTTCCGCAGTGCATAAATGGTTAATTAACCATTTATTTGCTTACCTTAATCAAGCGCCAGGCTCCCTCGACGCTGGTGACCTCTCCTCCTCCATCAACGTCAGCTCCTGAGTGAAGCCCAGGAAATACTGAATGCTTTCCTATGGGGATTCTATTTGACGCTGGACTACGCGGGGACATCCAGCGTCAAATAAGTGCGATTTACTCCGTGTAAATCGCAGAAGCGGTCAGGGAGACAGCCACTAGAGGCTGGATTAACCCTGCAGTGTAAATGTTTTCAGCTGCAGGGTTAAAACTATGGGGACCTGGCACCCACACCACTTCATTGAGCTGAAGTGGTCTGGGTGCCTATAGTGGAAGTATATTTGCTTGCAATGCCATAGTTTGCATGTTCCCTAAGTTGACATATAACTACAGCACATGCAAAAGTAATGTATTGTATCAATTACAGTAAAGCTCTAATAGTTACTAAGTATGAATAAAAGCTTAGTGCTACATATGAGCACACATTTACATATGTACAAACATGCTACGCTAAGGGGCATATTTACTAAACTGTGAATTAAGGCCAACTAGCAGCCTTGCATGGCCTACATTTTGTCATTTTACCTCAATTCAATATTTACTGAGTAAACCCTAAATTGAAGTGAAGCCCTTCTAATCTTTCTTTTTTTCAGATGGTCTTTTGGAATTTTTATGTACGAGATGATAACTTTGGGTAAGAAGTACAACAGAAAGTATATATGCATTTTCATTTAACAATCTTTATTCCCTCTAAATTGTAATTTTGCTTAACTAAATAAAAAATGTAAAATAAGGTTTTAATAAATTTATTTAAAGGACACTGTAGTGCCCAAAATAGCTTTAGCTGTTTAAAAAGAGCATTGGATTCCATCTATACATTTTAAGTTTTAGTAAATTACAAGTTTTGGTAGGACAATGTATAGATTAGGTGAAAAATCTATTAAATAATAGGCTTTTCTCACACCTGCCAATTAATTCCTCAGCAGACACATGCTGAGGAATTAACTGATAAAAAGAGAGCAGAAGGGTGGTAGGTCCTTCTGCTCTCCACCCATAGTTTGTGCTGCTAGTGCTGGCTAGGGAGTAAAGGAACGGAGTGACATCATGCCAGCTTGTCAACGTCACTAAGAAGGTTTGCCCTGCTTGGGGAAGTGGCCATAAGCAGGGTAAATCAGTAAATAACAGAGAACGAGTGTGGGTGGACTGAATAGCAGCAGGGGAGAACCCGTTTAATGTGATCAACGTGGGGAAGCAAAGGCCAAGATAAGTGGCAGGGCCGGATTAACAGGGGCTGTTGGAGCTGCAGCTCCAGGTCCATGCCCATGGCATAGGCCCGGTGCCGGTATTGCAGTAATAGCGGCAATACAAATGTCAGTCTCAGTATAAACAGAGACTATTCTGATATATCGGCGCCGGCCAGTAGGGGTTGCTGTATGTGTGGAGAGAGGCAGGGCTAGGAAGTTACAGCATCTCCCTCCCTGCCTCTCTCTACTCATTGATCCGCGCGGGAGCAGCTCTGCACAGAGAGTCCAGACAGCAGCTCCGAGCATGCAGAGACAGCCTACAGCTCAGGTATGTGAGGGATGGGGGGAAAGGCTGCAAGGAGATATGGGGATACCAACACTAGGGGACACTGGGAGACACTGGGAGACATGGGGGACACTGAGACACTAGGGGACACTGAGAGACATGGGGACATTGAGACACTAGGGGACACTGGAGACATAGGGACTGCGTGAGATTAGCGTAGGGTATGTGTTTCCTCATAGCTTGGGAGGTAAGACTGTTTTAGTGTTTTTGGTCGATAAGATTTTGTTATTAGGCCCCTCATAAATGTCAGCACAAGGCTGACTGTGCTCTTAATCTGGCCCTGATAAGTGGCTACAAGTTCCTTTAAAAAGCCAAACATTATATTGTATAAACGTTTTTATTGGGATTCTACGTGCATCATTAATATGACGTCAAATACCTTTTTAGCTAAATATGCGTTTTTTTATTTTTACTCTATATTGTGCTGGCAAATGTGTAGATTAAAAAGACATGCAATCTAAAGATAGTTCTCTCTTTACCAAACAAAGCGTCTTGGAAAATATAAGACTGTGGTGTGCACAGCTACCACAAACCCACACAATGTGCAAGGCATCCCACACTGGTAGAAGTGGATGCAACTGTGGCTAGCAGAAAGCATACGTGAAGTTATTTTGAGATACTACTCCTGTGTTAGAGAAAAATGTAACACTGTCGTGTTTGACAAACTCTCTAAAAACGAACAGAAACATGTGCACTTTAATATTTTTTTTCTGATACCCAACCAAACGGTACTCATTTTCTTAACTCATTTTTGAAATGGTAAAATGAAGTAAATATTGATTTATTTTAAACACCTGTGCACACTTAGCCATTATCATCAGTTTATGTTTTCTTTGATATCTGAAAGTCTAAAAGTCTCTTATTATTATTTTTTTGTAGGTGCACCTCCTTATCCCGAGATTCCTCCCTCCAATATACTTCAGCATTTACAAAGAGGAAACATCTTAACGAGACCTTCTAACTGCAATCCATCTATGTAAGAACTTTGTCTTATTACCAAGTTATCTTTGACTTTGTTATTATCAGCCCTTCTTCCTCTACGCTTTTCTGATTTGCCGTTTCAAATTCCTCTTAAAATTTTTCATATAAGCTGAAAGTTGTTTAAACATTTTTATTTTATTTTTTGCAGTATCATACACAGATTTTTACTTTGCTTGTTTCCTTAAATTACAATATTATTTAAAGCAGCTTGTACTTTGTGCAGAGAGACACAATGGTGGCATGCCCACTTGGTCTGTGCCGGCACAGGGAAGAAATGAACAGGAGATATAGTTACCTGAAAATGTCACTCATGGGTGTCTCCATCTTCATTGTTTGGTCCTTTTTCATCTTCTGGCACTTCATCTGCCAAAAGCCTGCTTCACTGTTGCACTCTTGTGGATGCAAGAAAGTCTAGCACAGAGTTCTATGGAAGATCCCATTACATCGTGGGATTCTCTATAAAACATTTACGGATTGTGTGGTAAGATGTCATTTCCCACAGTTGTCAGTAACAATGGCTGCTGGAAGTTGCCTGAAGCTGACAGTAGAATCTCCACCTCTTGTCTGCCATTGTCAACTTGGGCTTTGCCCATAAAATAAAGAATTCAGTGAAAATGCAATCAATCTGAATATATCATACAGATTTTATCTTAACAAAACAGTTTCAGAGCATTTAATAATACCTTCCTCTCTCATAGGTACAGTATCATGAAGTCCTGCTGGGCATGGAAGGCATCGGACCGCGTTTCACCATCAAACCTGCGTAAACGCCTGGAGGTTGGGAAGAAAAACTCCAATGACAAGACAGTACTGCAGGTTCCAGAGTTAGTGGTTCCTGAACTCTATGCAGTGGTTGCTGGGACAGAGATTCTAAAAATGGAGACTGATTACACTGTTCTTTAAATTTTAGAAAAAATAGACCTTAAGTGGAACATTTGGGCTCACAAACTCACACTTGGACTCCACGTGGAGAGGAGTCAGTATATGTGACCTAAATGTGAGACTCTGAAAACTCTTTCCTCTCGGTTTACATTGTGAAAGGGAATCCGACTTGCTGATAATTGTTCACGGTTAAACAAAGAATAAAGAAGAAACCGGTCAAGATATTCCTGCAGGGATTTCCTGAGGCATAATCATTTTCGTCAAACATGTTTACTGAAATATGACTCTGAAGCGTTTAGAATATTCCATCCTTTGCTCCGATTTTACATAGACCTGATGTCAATTGATGAACTCATCCATGCATCAATTGTCACAGAGTTTTTTGTCGTGTTTTTTTTTTTTTTTTTTTAAATTTATCTCTGTTTAGCTGTGAAATGTTTTTGGACTTGAAGATATTGCAAGCCAACACGTTTGTATTCTTCAAAGAAGTTGTGCTCCTGTGATCTAATTTGTTACATAGAATTATAAGATTTCTGACTACACATCATTGGATGCAGGGTCCAAAGACTTGCCATTAAACACTGCCCATCAAAAAAATTCTACAACCTTGTTCTCAGTCCCATACCCTTCTTCTAAAACCCACCCATCTCCCCTACTGAAACTCCGGAAATTGTCTTCTAAAGACTACCGTGTCCTTCCTTCTCACATTATGTTCTCCACTTTAAGCCTTGCCATCTTATACGTTAGAAGAGCAAGACCAGGTCACATAGCCTGTTTCAGATGTAAAATAATCAAATCCTATTAGATTTATTCATATATTGAGACTCTTAGTATAGTAGATAGGTACAGTGCTAGATCCTCTTATTGCAGTCTTCAGGTAGTGCTATTTACTTGAACCAAGAAACAGTTATTTATCTTCCAACTTTCTGAACAATAAATGTTGTTCAGTTTACCTGGTGCTGATTGTTCTAGAAACTGCAGGTTTAAGAAAGAAATTTAAACAGTAGGTTTAATTATGCTAATTTGGATCTGAATGTTAAAAAGAAACGTAAGTAGAATTTTTGATTCTTGATGTCTCAAACAATTTTATCAGGTCAGCTCTTTTCTTTCTGTATAAAATGCCTTGCGGCAATTACACAGCAAGCAGTTTTTCATGATTTGCAAGGAACATAACTCATAAAGCTATTTAACTCACAGAAGTGCTTCATATGTGAGGAACATGTCCTTTTTTATTTTTTTTTTAAAAAAGTGTTAATTTCAATAGAAATTGAAAATTTTCAAAAGGAAGCTTGTTACATCTCCCAGCTGTCAATCAGACAGCCTGTCCTGTTACTTCCTGGTAGTTTTGCTTTTTGGAACTAAACTCAAGAGGCGGCTACTGCCCAGAGCACCTGCCTTGCAGACTGTGAAGTCTGTGATTGGATAGCCACAGAAAGTCTGTGCTGGGGAAGAAGGGGAAGGCTTGCGGTAGCTGCAGGTATTGTATCTGCAGCTATCAGAAGCCAAGATTTTTATATACCCCCAAAGAAAGCATGCATAACAGATAACATGTATATTTTCTGTAGGTGTATATCTATTAATTTGTCATTGATTTTTTTATTACGTATTCATTTAACAACATTTTTTTAGGTAAGTGACATGTCAAAACAATATTGCATATGATATTCACAGCTTTTTCTAAAAAGCTTACTGTCACAGGGGCACAGTACTCCAAGCGTGTTTTCGCGACTTGGTTTTGAGGGTGAAAAGTTTAAAAATGACTATTATTTACAATAGAACTAGAATAATGATTTTAAAAAGTCCCTCTTAACCCACACTTAACCTTAATAGCAAAAAGCTGCCAATATAAATAATAACATAATAATAATAATAACAAAAAGGCAATGTATTAACTAGGAAGCCTTGGTTTCCCTAAGCAAAGAAGATTAAAACCACAAACACTATTTTAGCACAATCTATACACAACTTGCAAAATACCATTAAATTAAATACAGAATTAGCTTATTAAAGGAACACTGTATTGCCCGAAATACAAATATGTATTCTTGACAATATAGTGCTGGCCTGGCTGTTTAGGTGGCTGGCTCCACTCTGATCGACCCTAAAAGGTGAATTTACTCACCTTTTTTGCCATGCCAGTCTTGCCGTGGTGTTCATAGGCAGCAATGTAAACACTGCCTTTTCTCTGAAAATGCAGCATTTATACAGTGCTCAGCCTACAGGGACTGGCTATAGACACCAGAACATTAAGCTGTAGTAGTTCTAGTGACTATAACGTCCCTTTAATATTTTAATAACAAGACAAAATAATGTTATACAGTAAATAAATGTTATACAGTGCCAAAATGACACAAAGCAAATAGGACATACGAAACAAACAAACAAACAAAAATACAAAAATCAGTTCTGGAAATAAAATTGTGTTTAAACAAAACACAGAGCCTTCACTAGAGCAAATATCCCCGCAAATTTACAGCAGCCCAAATAAAATCCAAGATAAGTTTTGTTTCAGGTGGGCTAGCATTCATTTATATGTGAGTCTTCCTCTCTGTTTCCAGAAAACCCAGCCAGCCTGAATGACAAGTTTATGATAATTGCTAATGTGCACACAACTCTTTGAACCTTATATATTCATGGTAGAATCCTGGCTCCTGGCAAAGCAGAGGGATTGTCTTTGTGGAGATTTCAATGAATGTGATCAAAAGGTTTAATTTCTGCAAGAGACAACCTGATTATTTCTGCAAGAGATAAGCAGGTTAATCCCTAATGCTGGCACAGAATCATGCCCATTGTCCATGACAGTCACGACTGAATTACTTCCGGTTTTAGGTGAAGGAAATTTGACGTTCTAATAGTAGAGTACTCGTCTACTAATATACCCTGTTTGCATTTTCACAGGGCATGGTGAGTAGATGAGTAGACTGATAAAATGCACCTTCTTATATAGTTATAAATGTTTTATATTTAATAAAAAAATATTTTATTTTAAGTTTTTTTTTTATACTTTCTGTTTCTTTATACTGTCACGGTCCTGGTATTTCTAAAACATGTTATATTATAAAGTAAAATATATATATATAATATTATTATACATTATTTTCTAGTACATACTATACACTGGATGGATGTTTGCACAATTCAAAGTAGTTGAGTTTGTAAACAACACTTGAAAAGAACCTATGCTTTCCCTTCTAGGAGTGGGATCACTGTCCAGCTATCTTTGCTCTGTACAATAAAAGTTAATTTAAATTTATTTCTTTCATTCCTAGCACCAACTCCTCCCCTTTAGTTGCCCACTCCTCCTCCAATGATGTCAACATGCCTGCTGATGTCTTCCACAATCTCAGCCAATCCAGCGCTTCTGATAAATAAGCATTAAATAGGAGATACAAATGCGTGGTCAAACACCACGCATCTCCTAGGAAATGCTATTATCAGCAGCTTTTGATTGAAGCGTTGTGTTTGAGCCTGTGCTGGAGGAGGAGGCACCTCTAATGGCTACAAGGAAGAGAGTCACAAGAGGTATTTTAAGCCCTTCAATGTAAACATTGCCTTTGTTCAAAACAGCAATGTTTTACATTAGGGGTTAAAACTGAAACTACAGGAACACTTCAACCAGACAATTTCATTGAGATGAAGTAGCCTGGATGACTTTAGAGGTCCTTTAAGCAACTGAGAAAGTTTGATGATTCACCCACCCTTTAAATCTTACACCTAAATGGTTTCAACATGTTTGTTTAATTATTAATGTTTGCTTTTGAGTGTGAAGATGGAATAAATGTGTACTTTTTGTTACCTGTTGACGCTCTTTACTCTCCCTTTTATCACAGAAGATCAACATGATACTAGTACAGTTATTTTACAATAAGTTCTTTGCCACAAATATATATATTGTAGAATTATGGCAACTTATTTTTTTTAATAAATAATTTCTTAAAAATAAATCAGCTACCTACCTTTATTCCAGCGCCGTGAGTAGACCCCTCACTGCACTCTGCTCAGCTGGCATTCCACTTCGATCCTCTGAGGTCATGAGGTCACTGGCCAATGGTCTTATTCTCATTTAGACACATTGTAGACTCTGAGCGCATGTAGACTCGCCGCGATCCACCAATGAAAATTTCTGTTATAGAGACTCATTAAAGCAATGATTTTCTGTGAGAAGCCCTGAATGCGACACCACATATGTGCATAGTGTAAGCATTCACACGGGTGATGGCACCCCTCTACCATCGTCCTGTGGGGAGTCTGGCACAGATTGTTAAGATACACTAGTTGGAATAGTAATCGCAGGTGAGGTATGCCAGGTGGGGTATTTTTTTTTATATTACCTGAGGGTGCAGGCTGTGGAATGGAGGCCTGTCGCAAAGCTCTCGCTAGGACAGCGTGTGTACCAAGAGCATGAGAGCATACACCACAGGATATAAACATTCTCGGACAGCGTGTGTACCAAGAGCATGAGAGCATACACCACAGGATATAAACATTCTCGGACAGCGTGTGTACCAAGAGCATGAGCGCATACACCACAGGATATAAACATTCTCGGACAGCGTGTGTACCAAGAGCATGAGCGCATACACCACAGGATATAAACATTCTCGGACAGCGTGTGTACCAAGAGCATGAGAGCATACACCACAGGATATAAACATTCTCGGATAGCGTGTGTACCAAGAGCATGAGAGCATACACCACAGGATATAAACATTCTCGGATAGCGTGTGTACCAAGAGCATGAGTGCATACACCACAAGATATAAACATTCTCGGATAGCGTGTGTACCAAGAGCATGAGTGCATACACCACAGGATATAAACATCCTCGGATAGCGTGTGTACCAAGAGCATGAGAGCATACACCACAGGATATAAACATTCTCGGATAGCGTGTGTACCAAGAGCATACACCACAGGATATAAACATTCTCGGATAGCGTGTGTACCAAGAGCATGAGAGCATACACCACAGGATATAAACATTCTCGGATAGCGTGTGTACCAAGAGCATGAGCGCATACACCACAGGATATAAACATTCTCAGATAGCGTGTGTACCAAGAGCATGAGCGCATACACCACAGGATATAAACATTCTCAGATAGCGTGTGTACCAAGAGCATGAGCGCATACACCACAGGATATAAACATTCTCGGATAGCGTGTGTACCAAGAGCATGAGCGCATACACCACAGGATATAAACATTCTCGGATAGCGTCTGTACCAAGAGCATGAGCGCATACACCACAGGATATAAACATTCTCGGACAGCGTGTGTACCAAGAGCATGAGCGCATACACCACAGGATATAAACATTCTCAGATAGCGTGTGTACCAAGAGCATGAGCGCATACACCACAGGATATAAACATTCTCAACTTGCATCAGACCAATTCCGTCTACAACAGCATGCTAGGTATTCTGACATCACAGTATGATTGGGGCCTTGGAGATGTTGCTAGTAGCTGCTCTTTCAAACCCTATAACAAGATAACTAAGTTCATGTTTTTCTTTTTACATAAATGAATGTCTAAACTATAACAACTTCAACCAGATCATTATCTTAGTGAATACAGTGTTCTTTGCAGTGTTCCTTGATTTTATAATACATAGCTTTCCTTGCACTAACAATTTTGGTATGAAGAACTTACGTCAGATCCTCCCTTTATCAAGTATAACGCTAAGGGCTTGTTAGTACAATAATAAAAGTATTACAAAATACTGTGTGTGTGTCTATATATAATAATATACACACAGAAAAGCTGGAACATAAATAACAATTACAAAGACTTACGTGATTCACTTCTGCAGGCTAAAGAAATCACAGGATATATGCACAACAGATCAGTAAATATTCAGATCCTAAACATACATAATTGTGAATCAAGAGATCATTACAGAAACACTCCAAGCACCATAAGCTCTACAGCGTGCTTTACAGGGGTCAAGTCCTGGGGAAAAAAGTGTGGGAACTCACCCAAGATCCCCTCCCCCCAAAAAATGATACACTCGTTAAAAAAAGCATACACACACACACACTGACAGGTGCACACATACACACACTCACAGACACACACATACACTCACACACTCACAGATGCACACACATACACTTACATACACACACACATACACTCACACACACACACAGATACTTAGACACACACACACACACTCACAGAAACACAAATTATTCATATTTTTAACATTTACAAATGTCCACCCAGCCTCCCTACCCAGAGAGATGGAGTGGACCTGTCCCTGGGGTCCAGTAGTCCACCTCTTGCCCTCCCCCCCATGACAGGTGGGAAAAGGGGGGGGGCATTTGGGGGCGGCATTTTTTTTTCTGCCCCCTTAGTGCCTGCAGGAGCAACAGTAATGGCGTTCCTGCTGTGAAAAAAGTGCAGGAACGCTGTTCCCACACGTTCCTGCAGGACTTGAGCCCTGGTGCTTTATGAACTTACGTCAGCTCTTCTGAGCAAGCCAAGTCCTGTAGTCTAAGGCCAGCTCATTGGCTGAAAGCTTCCCTAGATCCCCCATAGACACACCCTGCACCACCTACACACACTCTACATTCCTGACATGCACATAGGATCCCCTATGCATACACTAGCTCCCCTGAACGCAAACACACACTACATTCCCTAAACACACACGCTACATCGCCTGTACACACATACACTAGAGCCCATATGTTCACACTCGCTACATCCCCTATCCACACTATTTTCCCTATACACACACTCTCTCACTCTCTGCAGCCTCTAGACAAACATATAACACTACAAACACAACACAACTGAAACCGACCTATTTACACAAAAGACACCAGGGACAAATCACATGCAAACACAGAGCAAACGTGTTGCTTCCACTGAGCAGCATACATGGCATTTTTCCTAATGAAATATCTTCAACAGGGCTCTGCGCATGGTCTGCCCTGGAATAGCATTGAACCAACATGCTCACTTTGAGCGCCCCTTCTCACTGTGATCAAAAAATGCCCGGGCCAAATGTATTTCCCAGTCCATGCCTAAATGTAACATTCTCCAAGTCAGCTATATTTTTTGTTCAACCTAAAATTTTAAATAAATGTTAACACTTTGTTGAACGACCGTGACGGGACATTGTGTTATAAAGAAATATTTGAAAAGTCCAATCCTAATTGACAATGTCACACAGTACCTCGATGTATAGACTCCTGTTTTCATTCTGCCCTGTGCAAATCCTTTGCCAATAGGTTTTCATTCGCAGAAAAGTTTGTAACGTAGAACACCTTCATTTATAATTCTGACAGGTGTGATATAAGTCTTTTCTAGTCGTTAATTAACTCACTTAATTGACTTTAGGGCTCATTAGCCTTCAGGAATCTATAACCGCACATATGACAAACCACTCTTGAAAAGTTTAACTCTGCTCAAGCTATCTCCTACCTTCTTTTAAAGCCCAGTACCTTTTATTAGCAGGTCTGTACATGGTACGTCTAGTACATTATTGTTTCTATTGTGTCTAGACTACCTGTATATTCTGTATTGAATTCATTTTACTGTAGTACCTGACTCTTTGTACTTGAAACCAGGTGGTGGATTTACTGCTGATTTTGCAATACTACTGAGCCATATGTCTGGGGGACAGATATTTTATTAAGTTTGTTATAAAAATGTATACTTTGGGGTAGTATTGAATAAAATACAAATAGATATTGTACTTTTTATCTAATAAGGCACAGAATAATGCGTTTTTATAAACAATCTATATATATACAATCTACTAATTGGCCCATGGCGTAGTGCAGGAAGAGAGGTTTTCCCTCTCAGCACATTTTCTAAAAATGGTGGCTTTGTTGTGAAAACAAGTTTTCTAGTATTTGACCCATAATTTGATCTCTTACCTGCACCCCAGATTCACACCTGCAGGACTTCTTCATAGCTGCCTCTTCCTTTTGGAATGCCCTCCCACACCACATTCGACTGTCCTCACCTTTGCAGTCCTTCAATAAATCCTTAAAATCACACTTCTTAAGAGAAGCCTTTCAGCTCAACTCTTAACTCCTTATTCCTTACAAACTTCCTCTACTGTCTCCCATCTACTCCCAAACATCCCTCTCATCCTCTCATATGTATCCAGATCATTTTGTTATCTCACTTCCCTTTATGAATGTGTCCCTCACCCCTTTGATATTAAAAAAGCAGGGCCTTCTTCACCTACTGTTCCTGTAAGTAAAATGTGTTGTGTTAGACGTTTCCATCTTGTTTTGCCTATTATTAAGCACTGTGGAATACGTTAGTGATATATAAATAATTGTAATTGAACTAAACTCCTCTCAGATGGTCCTTTCATTCTAAAAAAAACTTGGTATTGGAATTGTAACATTAGCATATAGTAAGAGATAACTCTATACCCCCCCCCCCCCAACTTTCACTATCTGTATTGGCTAGAGCAGTGATTCCCAACCCAGTCGTCAAGTACCCCCTAACAGTCCAGGATTGAAGGATTACCCAGTTATGTCTAAGGTGCTTTTAGAAATGAAAAAACAACACTTTAGACACAGAGTAATCCCTAAATCCTGGACTGGTAGGGGGTACTTGAGGACTGGGTTGGGAACCCCTGGTCTAGAGCATTGTTTCCCTGCTCTCAACTGTCCAGGTTTTGTCAGTATCGCCATTGGGACGGAATTTGTAAATAACTAAAACCTGAACCTATTGGTGGGATTTGAGACCTTGGCTGAGAACCACTAGTCTAGATTACATCTAGATGTTTGTAAGGTACCGTCTGAAGAGGTTCAGCTGAACTAGTACTCGTTTAGTTTTTTTTAGAACCTGCCAATATTAAAGAAACACGTATAGAAGCATGTAGAGTGATGGAACATGGAGAAGCAGTAGTCTAATCTAGTCTGCCACTCTTCCAAGACACCTAAAGCTTTACATGTGCAAATGGTTTTTAATTTCTTTTTATGAACATTTGATGAAATTCATAATTATTTAACTGTCTTTAAAATGTAAAAAAGAGCTTTGATTGGAGAAAAAAAAACTCCACTTAGGGAATCATCGGGACAACTTAGTAATGGGGGAGAACCAGCAATATGGATGAACAGGTTAACCAGGATTCCAAGTTAATGAAGGGGGAATGGAGTACTTGGTGAGAACTTCCTCTCTCTCAACCCCATGTGCTGAGGGGTAATTATAACAAGCAATTGCTTAGTGATCAGCCCCAATTCTATCCTCCACTCCATGTATGATTGGATGGAAGTTAATGTGCAGATGGTGACAAAGTGAGTCCCCAAGACCCTTTAGTTTACATATGAAAAGACAAGGACCAGGAGTGCTTGAGCACTTGTCTAATACAGTACTACGGGATGCAGAGTCCAACATCCTCCCATTATTGACAAGGGTCATCATTTGCTTGCTCATCTACTCAACATGCTCATCCAATTCCCACCGAATTAGTCACTTGTAGAAATAATGAGCATTGCTCCCCACCCAACAAAACTAGGACTGATTGAAGTGGGCCACACCAACCCACTTCCCCCTCAACAGACATTCATATGTACTATTGTACAGCACTTAGGAATTTGTTGGCACTTCATAAATACAAATAATAATAAAATGTAAAATAACACTACCAGTCCAGTATCATTCAATAAACTGTTTCTCCACAAATTGCACAAAAAAGAATTATGTTTATGTTTGGTAGATTAAGCAATAATCTTTACTTTTGTATGTGTTATCTCACTCTTATGTCATGCATTAAAAAAATATTATTGTATACAAATGTACTCCGTACAACCTTTAAACATGACTGATAACTTGCACATACAGAGACAGATAGTAAAGACAACTCTTCTTTCTAGACCAATTAGATCCTAATAGTAGCTGAGAAAAAGTATGTCTTGCAGCAGAATTCATTCTGTTAAGGTCTTGTGAACACTGCATTTGAATAATTTGAATACGTTAGGGGAGGGAGACCTGACTCATGGGGAGGGCTTCTGTTGACCTTGACAGTTGTGATAAACTGAGATTGAACAGTAGTTTCTCAGTTACTCCAGATTGATTTTGGTCTCACGTTTTTTCCCGTCCTTTCTCTTTGGCCACCTAGCCCTCTTTTCTATTGCTGGGTGAAAACTCCGTCTGTCCTGCTTCAGAAATGTCTCACATGGCATCTGAGATCATTGCATTTGTGCTAGCAGTGTCAGGATGGGTGTTGGTTAGTTCCACTCTACCCACAGACTATTGGAAGGTCTCAACAATCGATGGTACTGTGATCACCACTGCAACATTCTGGTCCAATCTCTGGAAGACCTGCGTCACTGACTCAACTGGAGTATCCAACTGTAAGGACTTTCCATCCATGCTAGCCCTGGAAGGTAGGAAACTTTATAGGAATTGTGAGATAAGAATAAAAGTACCATACATTTTTTTTAACTTACAGGGTTATTTACTAATGTGAGAATTGCCAGTAATTCAACGTGAATTTTAAACCTATGGCCAATATAGCCAAACCAAAAACAAAGCTAATTTAGAGAATTCGGCACTCCAGATATAGTGGACTACATCTCCAAATCTTAGGCACTCCAGATATAGTGGACTACATCTCCCATAATGTTCTTACAGCCATAATGCTCGCAAAGCATTAAGGGATATGTTGTTTACAACATCTGGAGTGCCGAAGGTTGTCTACACTGATTTAAAGTTTTCTATTGAACAAATAAGCTAAAGCACTTATTGACGTAACATCAGGGTATTTGCAATTCACAGTGATAAGCAATGTTATGCGATTGTCACCTAAAAATGTCCTATTGCTATGATGCCTGTTCTAAGGCGTAACCTATCTTGGCCATATCTTATATAGGTTTATTCACCAAAATGGGATTTCGGAGCGAGTCTCACATTTATGGCCACATAAAATCTCAAATTCGTGCTAATGTCTTTCGTCTTTGAAAAGCTTTCAGATTTGAAATTCTCTTTAAATCCCTAACAAATCAAACAATAGTGAATAATGATTCCAGGGTTTTGAACATTGTAAGAATGAGTGTGCTGGCTCTCTTGTCCTAAATCTTCACTTATATTTTTTATATCTGTTCCGAGGAGTGGACATGACCAATTTTTAATTATTTAGTGCTTCAGTGCAAATGATTCTCTCATTGTGTTCTTCTACAAGCACTACTGTTATAGACCTGGTAGATTTCCTAAGAATCTGCATTATTTACTAAAGTGAGAATTCCAAATTTACGGATTGAGTAGTCAAACTAAAGGCATAGCTGCAGTTCGGCTATTTTGATCATAAATTTTGGGATAACGTTGAATTCTCACTTTAGCACATATCCCTGATTGTCTTCTAACAGCAAACAGGCATTGAAGCAAAGAATATTGGACAAGTTAATTGCCTGCATTTTAACAGTGGCTGTTTAGGCATTATAATAGTTAGAATATCTTTAAAGTTATATTTGTGAAATAATATTAGCTGATTTTACAGCACAGCATTGCCTTCTTTTTGATAAATGTAAATGAAAAAATAGCAACAAATAAGAAATCATTCAAAAATTTAAGCTGCCAACATCCCAATAAATCTCTTTTTTAAACATATTCTCTGTAGTTAATGAGCTGTATAATAAGTTGGTTAATAACTAACATTTACAAACATTCTTGGTTTTTACTTGACTACCGTTTTACCCTTTTGACCACAGAAGTTCACAACAGGAACCGATATATCAATCTTGTACAAAAGCAGGAAGAAAAATAAACATTTTAGTTCCACTAGACTGGAACAGAGAGTTGGGTTCCTAATATGAAAATATTGATAAATACTACATTTTATGGGGTCCAGATTATAGTTTGAGATTTCTTCTAGGCTCACTTTTAGAGCTATGTATGCCAAGTTTGCGTCCAATTGCTTGATAAAAAGTGACGGTTATCAATATAATTGTTCAGTGGAATCAAAAGCTATTTTCACAAACTTTCAAGTTTGCTAAGCATATTAGAACATGCTGGCAGTAGAGTACCGGGGGCCCGATGGTGCACCTGCCATGGAGGTAAAATAGTAAAGTAGTTGTGGGCCCAATTTTATTTAGCGGAGCCTGTAGAAGGTAGATAAGACCCACTGTTGCAGTTAACAATAAATATGGTCTTTTGTTTGTTTTAATTAGTTTATTTCACCTGTGACACAGAAAGTGGCAGTAATTTCCAGGGCCAATAACTCTATTGATAATCAATACAATCATCATATATATTCTTTAAAAATCTATAATAAAAATAGGAGAATAGCTACTGTCTCAAAGTGTTTGATATGGAATTAGTGTCAGCAGTCACTTGCACGTATCTGGTCATTTGCTTTTTTTTTTTATGTTTTTATTTAAAGCCCCTCTCCCCAGTGCAGTTGTGGGGGTTGATGTTTGGTAGTAGATAGTATATACACTCTGTTTGGGTTCTCTTTAGGGCCAATAATTATATTGATAATCGATACTATCATCACATATATTCTTACTATTGACTTTACAAGTGTTTAATTAGCCTTACAATCAGAGGGACAAGGTGGATTGTGGGTGGTACATAGAGGGGCACAACATTTTGTTCTGCCCCTGGGGACCTGGGTTACGCCACTTCAAAAAGACAGAAGTGAATAAACACAAGGATATTTACATAACTAAGGCTCATTGTGACATTACCTCAAAATAGAACAAGTATAATGAAATTCTATATAATAATAACGTAACATAATATAGTATAAGAGACGTACCTAGGATACCTGGCACCCAAGGTGGAAATCTAGATTGGCACACCATTCCCCCTCCACACACAAACTGTAGCATTCTATATTTTAACACCATTTGGTTAGGTTAATTTAGAAACACACACTCACTCCACTGACAGGTAAATTGAATAACATTGATTAAATCATTACAATGGTTGGGTGGGATATATTTTTTTATTATTATATAATGAAGATAATTGGTGAAAAGAGGGAGCGGAGCATAGCTAAAGATACAGGGTTATCAGTGGTGGAACGAATGTAGCGAAGAAATTGAATTGGGCTCCTCTCTAGCACAAAGGTGGCCAAAAGGTAGTTCACCCATCATTCGTACAACTCCCACAGTGCTATGCCAGCTGGGGATCTACGGTGTTTGTATGTAGTGTGGGCTTTTAAAGGCAGTTGTACATGTGTGTTTGTATATAATTTTGTGTTTTAATATCGGGGTGTGTTTATACATAATTTTTGTGCTTTAATATAGGGGTGTGTTTGGATGTAATGTTTGCATTTGTTGGGTTGGTGTTTGATTGCTGTGATGTATGGCCACGTAAATACATACTTACACAGATATACATACCCAGGCCCGGACTGGCCATCGGGCACAGCGGGCAAATGCCCGGTGGGCCGTGGGGCCGAGGCCGGCATGGGAGGTCCCAGGATCTCCCCTGCCGGTCTATGCAGGGCCGGCACTCTCCCAGCGCCGGCCCCGCTGTTTGCCACGACGGGCCGGTGGGGAGATCAAGGATCTCCCTGACCGGCCCACATGCGGCCGCCGGCGGGGAGAGAGGGGATGGAGCCAGCCAGGCTGGAGAGAGGACCCGGCGGAGCTCTAACTTGCAGCTCCGCCGGGTTCCTCTCGAGAGATTCGGCACGTTGCCATGGCAACAACCGGATCTCGCGAGAGTGAACTCTAGCCTCACAGGCTAGAGTTCACTCACCCACGAGGACCACCAGGGAACACCGCGTGCCGGACCCCCCCTCCCAGTCCCAGCGTGCCGGTCCCCCCCTCCCTTCCAGGCTAAAGGTAAGAAGGGAGGGGGGGAAGAATAATGACTGTTTTGTTTTGTTTTTTTATTTTTACCCCCCCCTACACACACACACACACACACAATAACATTTATACAGCACTCTCACACCCAGCACTCTCACACCCATCACACACAGCACTCTCACACCCATCACACACAGCACTCTCACACCCAGCACTCTCACACCCATCACACACAGCACTCTCACACCCATCACACACAGCACTCTCTCACACCCATCACACTCACAGCACTCTCACAGAGCACTCTCACACACACACAGCACTCTCACAGAGCACTCTCTCACACAGCACTCTCACACCATCACACACAGCACTTTCACACACACAGCACTCTCTCACAGCACTCTCACACCCATCACACTCACAGCACTCTCTCACAGAGCACTCTCACACAGCACTCTCTCACACCCATCTCACACAGCACTCTCACACCCATCACTCACACACGGCACTCTCACACCGCACCCCTCACACACAGCACTCTCACACCGCACCCCTCACACACACACCGCACCCTCACACACACACATACTGCACCACTCACATACACACAGAACCCCCCCAACACACTGCACCACACACATACACAATACTTCCAAATATATATATATATATATATATATACATACACACACACACACACACACTACACTCTTAAAGGACCACTCTAGCCACCCAGACCACTTCAGCTTAATGAAGTGGTCTTGGTGCCAGGTCCTTCTAGGGTTAACCCATTGTTTTATAAACATAGCAGTTTTAGAGAAACTGCTATGTTTATCAATGGGTTAAGCCTTCCCCCAAAGCCTCTAGCAGCTGTCTCATTGACAGCCGCTAGAGGCGCTTGCGTGCTTTTCACTGTGAAAATCACAGTGAGAGCACGCAAGCGTCCATAGGAAAGCATTATAAATGCTTTCTTATGCGACCGGCTGAATGCGCGCGCAGCTCTTGCCGCGCGTGCGCATCGGAGGAGGAGAGCTCCCCACACGGCGCTGGAAAAAGGTAAGTTTTAACCCCTTTCCAGAGCCGGGCGGGAGGGGGTCCCTGAGCCACATATGCATCACATTACACCACAAACACAACACGACTAAAACCGACCTTATTACACAATACCACACCACGACCAGCTCACTCTACACACACGCAATACCCCAAGCAGGCTCCAAAACACATGCACAATACTCTTTCCTGACCCATTTGTCTCCTGGTATCCATTTATAGAGACACCAGAGACAAGTTGCAAGGAAACACAGTGCAAGCATGTTATTAATTTTGCTTGCACTGTGCAGAACAAATACAGGACTTTTTTCTCATGCTAGAGCTCTTCAGCAGAGCTCTGCGCATGGTCTGCCCTGGAAGAGCATTGAACCAACATGCTCACTTTGAGAGAAGGGTGTGTTTGTCATTGGTGATGACAAAACACACCTCCTCTGCCCCGCCCCCTTTTTAGTGGGCCGCTGTGTTAAAAAAATGCCCGAGCCGAATTTTTCTCCCAGTCCGGCCCTGTACATACCCATTTAAATACACAGATACACACACACACACATTTTGAGACACAGATAAACACACTAACAAATACATACACCTTGACACACAGATACACACACACTTACATAGACACTGACACATAGATACACACATACATGTCAAAATTTTTAGCCACCCTTCTGTTAACATACCTTTTATGTGCAGGAGGGTGGGTTGCCAGGAGCCCTGCTGCTGGCACAGTCTGGTGGAAGTGTGTGTCTGAAACTGGGTCTTGTCTTTGCTTCTCTCCATCCTTCTGTTCCTCTTCTGCCTCCTCCTCCTGAGCAGCTCCTGCTGTAGCTAGGAGGAAGTGATCTGTACTCACTTCCTAACAGCATGGGAAATACGAAAGGAGTCTGGTCCTGATGTTAAAGGACCACTGAGCCTGACCAGGCCACTGTTCAGCATTACTGAGTGTTCTCAAGTGCGTGGGCCCCCACCTCAGCATGCGGCCCCAATTACTGCCCCAGAAAGCTCAAAGCCATTTTCTTTTTGAGACAAAATGATACTAAAGCCCAAAAATCCAAACAGGTCAGCTGGTGACAGAGCTTGCTTTAAGTACGAGGTTTGAAACGGTCTAAATGGATGAAGCAATTACACAAACCAAACACTGCTACTTTATTTCCCAATTTTATATTACTCTTTGTTTTTAGGTTTTATCCAGGCCTGCCGTGGTTTACTAATTGCTGCAGTTAGTCTAGGCTTTTTTGGTTCAATTTTTGCACTTGTTGGCATGAAGTGCACCAAGATTGGAGGAACAGACAATCAAAAAATGAAGATCACAGCCTTTTCTGGTCTTCTCTACGTTTTGAGTGGTGAGTGTTCTATAGTTTATACCACAACCTATAATGATCACCTTGAGGTTACCTGCACAATACATTACTTACCTGGCTACAGAATATATGATGTCACAAACTACGTGATTGGCAAATTAGTCAAGTTCCTTCAGTGCTTCTGTCTTAGCGATACCTCTCTGTATGACATCAAACATTCTGGTAATGGGATTTACAGAAGATATGATACATATCAGCTCAGCACATATAACTACAGCTCAGTGGAGGAAGATGTAAATTGCAGATTGAGATTTTGCCATCCATTCTAGCCAGGAAGACAGCAACTGTGTAAGAAAGATAATATAGATACGTACCTCTTAAATACACTCTTTAATCATGTACTTTGTACATCTAGTAATCTAGATTTATAATAAACAGTGATGTAACATGGTATTTTATATATGTTTTGTATATCATAGAATGTTTCTCTCCACCTATAGAGTACAAGACAGACACGGTCACATCTTTTTTTTTCTGTTCTAGGTCTTTGTGCAATGACTGGGATATCACTATATGCACATAATATAACATCACAATTCTTTGATCCAACAGTCCTGGAACAAAAGTAAGTGGGGAAATCAGCGGGAAAGTCACCAAAATATAAATCTGTGTTATTCAGTAGAGATTTGTTTTGTTGCCATCTCTTAGGTATGAACTGGGGGCTGCCCTTTTCATTGGATGGGGTGGATCATCTCTCACCGTCATCGGAGGCGCTATTCTTTGCTTCTCTTTGAATGACAGTTTAAGAGAGTCCAGGTAACCATAAAAATGTATAATTACCACCCAAACACTTTAAAGCAAGGATGGGTAAAAACATTAGAGTTATAATTAGTTATTTTAACTTATTCAATTTTGCATACCTAGCACACATTAGGATGTAGCTGCACTAGTCGGAGTTTTGCCATCTGCCCCTCAAAACCTTGGGTGGGGACAAACTGCAACGCATTCTTGGTCAAATGAAAAAATTGAAGAAGGCCAAATCACAGGATTATGGGTGAATAAATGTGATAATTTAGTGACATGTGAATTGAAATAGCACGATATTCAAACACCAGTAAAATGCTATTGACAATAGATTGTCTATAGTTTAGATCTATGACAATTTAATTTTAGGGCAGTGGTGAACTTATTTTTAGACTTTCCAAGAATTATTAAGATGTCAAAGAAGAAAGAAAAAAATCTCAACATAAAATGTACTTCAATAACTCCATACACCCTATGTCCCAAATCTAATCAGTTTAAGATCATATTTATTCTGAGCACTGCTTAAGTGAGAAATTAGTTATTGATCATGAAAACTTTTTTTTTTTTTTTAAAGAAATTGAATATTTTTGAGATTGGTGGTAAAATTAGCACTTTGCATCTTAAATGCACAGGTTTTACTTTGATAAATAAAATAAAAATGTTTTATTTGACATAATTAATCTTTGTATATGCAATAACCTAAAGGTTTTTTTTGTTACTCCTTTTAGAATACATTATTCTTATAACGGGGTCACTTCTGTGAGATCAGCACGGACACGCCTTCCTGATGAAAGTAATAGTTGCAATGCGCCGAGGGATCTTCCCAGACACTTTGATAAGAATGCCTATGTGTGATGAGAACATTCAGAAGGAAAATGACAATCTAGTGTACGACTCAAAGAAAGGAGTGTGCCTGACCCATGTGACATTCTAACTTTGCTTCCTCTACATTCCTGTATTGTCCTGTTTGCTGTGACTTTTATTTCCCTCTTCTTATTCTACCACAAAAGTTCTTCGACATTGGCTTCAGCTATGACTCAAAACATGCTTTATACTCAAGTCTGTCACCAAGAAAGGCACATTAGATACGACAACCGATTTAGAAAATATACAACTATTCACGATAAAATGGATTAATGGCAGGAGGCTCTGTCTCCAAAAGCAGAATAGCTGGGATTGTATATAAGGTCACTCTAAAGAACATATGTTAATAAAATAAGGGGGGGTTAACATTTTCTAATTATATGTACCAGCTGGCTGAATATACTAATGCAATTTAACAAAGTAACAAATAGAGCAAGATTACTTCATAATGTGGATCTTGTTGTACACAGGGCCTGTAATTAAAAACAAACATCCACACTTTCAAAATGCACAAACTGCAATTAAAACCGATACTGGTTTACAAGGATGAGAACTGTATATATACACAAAAAAATAAATAGTACACCGTTATTATTATTGCCATTTATATAGCGCCAACAGATTCCGTGGCGCTTTACAATATTATAAGAGGGGGGATTTAACTATAAGTAGGACAATTATAAAGAAAACTTACAGGAACGATAGGTCAAACGAGCTTACAGTCTAGAAGATTACACAAATTATGCCCCATGAGGATTCATGGAGAAAATGTGTTTATACTGTATGCCTGCAATACATTTATAAGAGAAATCAACAATAATGTTACAGTTTATAATAAACTAGCCATATTGATGTCATTACATATTAAAATATGGTTTTTTAAAAAATGTAAATAAAAATAAATGTGTCACAGAAAAAAAATAAAATAATAAAATGAAAAAACAAGAACAAAAAAAACCACGTGCATTTTGTGCATGTTTGTTTCGCTTTTTCATGGTGTAACATGATAAAAAATATTTTTAAAATAACGACCCCACCTTGGATATGTTTCCAGCTTTATTGAAACATGTGAATGTGATGGAAATTGTAGAATAATTAAACAAAAACAGATTAACAGAATATATCAACAAAATTATTTTTCAAACTTAATATATAATTCCTTATCCATTACACACACAAAAACCCCCTAAACTGAAACATACATAAACTTTTCAGAGAACGGACTGAATTTACTTATCATAAAATCATTACTGGTTTAGCTGAACAACAATGGGAAAAAAAAAAAATATCTGCAGTGCCAAAGTCAGTCATCCAGTTCTTTTCAAACAAAAATAAAAAAAAACACAAAACATGGACTTTGTAGTTTTAAATAAAGATAAATTATTTTTCAAAAGCAGCCTACAGTTTCCAAATTAATTTTGATTACTTGTGTGATTTAAAACAAGCTAGAGACTATTTTGTCTTAGTATAATAGGTTCCACTGGTACAGAAGGATTTAACCCTCCAACAGCTGTCACTGATAACAGTCACATAGGCATCTTGTCATGCATTGCTCCAGAAGAAATCTATTGTCGGGCAATAAGCCTGTACAGGGAGATTCCACTTATATTTTAAGATCTTTCATAGAGACCGGTTTTCTATTCTCGCACACCAAGGCTGCCAGGAGTCCCATACATATGATTAAGTTGCCATGGACACTTCTAAGATCAACTTGGCCCTAAATCCCCAAATAGTGGTTTAAAATGTAATGAAGTCGTGCCACATAGGTGGTATATTTTTGAAAAAGAAATAAAAAAAAAAAAAATGTATATATACACACAATACACAAACAACAGACCCGCATAATGATGTTGTGGTCCAAGGTTCCAGAATTAAGGGTTGAGATGAAAAGGGTTTACTGCTTTACAAAAACCAATAGCAGCCTTTAATATTTCTCTGGACATCATAAGATGTTCTGTGTTTGGGACCCATCTGAAATAGCAGAGTATATTCAGCAATGAAAGGATGAGGCGCTCACTAAATATAAACCGTGAAACAATCCAGTTTTAGCCCACTACCTATGGAATGTATGAAAAATGGGAGAAGAAAAAAAAGCCAATTATGTGGAGGTAAATCCAGTGTCCTCCTCTATCTCTGCATGACCACCTAAGCTGGAATTCTCCTACAAGACTGACAGTCCCCATTCACTGGACCAGGCTTCCAAATCAAGTCAGGAGGACCAGCAAAGAGAGCGCAAGGTATAACAGAGTTAAATCAATGTGATGCCTTAACTTCCAGATCACAAAAATAACTATGTGGCAATGGGAAATAGGAAAGAGGCAGCTTTTTATTTAGAAACGGTAAGGTGGGATAGCAGAATTACAGCTCTCATATTGTTAGAGTGATTTTGTAAATTATGTGAGTCAGGATAAAATAAAACCGGATTGGCAAAAAGTCAGAGAATATAATCCATAACTCAAAGAGTAGAGTGGTGGATTATTGGAAGATTCACCCTGTCAATAGGTTCTGGGATTGTCTAAGCTTTCACCACTGCTACAGATAGCCAAACATATAATCACCATATGAAAAAGTAGTATTTGTTTTATCATGAACATAAAAATGTAGTTTAAGAAAAAACAAACAAACAAACAAAAACAAAACAAAAAAACAGCAGCAATATGGAGGGGATACAGATGAAGCCTAAATGAGTTAGAAGATAGAAAACCCACCAAAGTGACAGAGCTGCTTTAACCCCTTAAGGACACATGATGGAAATGTTCCGTCATGATTCCCTTTTATTTCAGAAGTTGTGTCCTTAAGGGGTTAAAAATGTAGACTGTTGCCAATCTTTGTCACTGCAAAAAACAAAAACAAAACAAAAAAAAAACCCCCAGAACAACAAAACCATTCACTATAATTGAAGGCTGGGATCCTACAGTATTTAACATGCTTAAGTGACCTTATGACAGAGTTTTCAGTGATTGTGAAAGTTGGTTCCCTGTCGAGATGCACACATGGGCTGCAGAAGGCTGCTCAACGAGGGAATAAAGTTAAGGTTTCAGAGAGGTTTAGGGCTAGGGACTGCATTGCAGCAGAGCAAGTTAGGAAATTTAGGGTTAAGGTTAGGAGCATGCAGGTTCTTGAAAGATCAGCAAAAGATCTTGATGGGGAACCCACATTTGCACGACACAGGCAATATGCTTCTGAGCAATTGCAGCTACAGGTCTAATGCTCATACATTTTTAGCTTCAAAGTGCAATCCTTCATATAAATGCTATAGTAGTAAACAAAAAAAAACAAAAAATATATAAAAAAGATTAAACTAAAATGCAGGCACATAGTTTTAGCATTTGTCGAGTCAGGATTTTGAACATCACTCAGTCTTTCCTTGTATAAAATGGAATTATTATCTCTACACCGCCAGCTAATGGACACTTGCAATAAGCGAAGCAGTATATACACTTCTACGGAAATAACAGATTAACGTTTAAAACACACACATCATATTTAAGACATGTTTAATTTAAGCACAAAACAATGAAAAATAACATCTGCAAAAATGTTTCTGTTTTTTTTTTTTTTTTATAAGAATACCAACAGACTACGATGAATAAATATTACAATATTGTCCTTAATCAGGTGTCTTTAGTGCGTGTACATGTTTGATTCAATGTGCTTCTTTTGCCTTTGGAATTCTAAAGCCTATGTTGCAACAAAGCATAGGTTTACTAAAGTAGAGAAATTCATGCTTGCGATGATTGCTAGGCTATTTTAAAGGATAAACAAATGAAATTCATAGAATATATTTCATAATGTGTTGAGCAGATAGTTTATTTAGGTTTTACTTACCTTCACAGTTCCTCTCTCTCTCTGCACTGTGTTCCTCAAACTAACTAGATTTATTTTTAATTTTTAAATACTATGCGAATAAAATCAGATCAGTGGTCGATTATGAATCACTTTAAAGGGTTCTAGAAGGCTTTAGAGTTATTGTTAAGAAAAGGATTATTCTCCGTTGATCTAAATTTCTAAAAAGGTGCTTTTTTTTTCAGTTTCTTTCTATCTCTGGCAAAAAAAAAATATTGTTAAACATTCATAAATCGGCCAATTAAAGGCTTTTATCTCCCTGTATAATATATCATGGGATGGATGTATATTACATCACAGATGGGGAAGGTATAAATGATGTGTATGATTGAGCCAGTAAGGAATGTACGTGACGGTTTAGTGAAGGATGTGTGTACACGCAAATTGGAAAGGGACAAAGCTAAACGTGGAGAGCTCAGCTAATGGAACCACCCAGCCAACTCTACAAACACATTTACCCCAAGTTCTCAGCCCTTACTGACCCCAATATAGGTTGAAATGTTACGATTCTCTCAGTCATGACATCCTCTTACATTGTGTCAATCCACTTCTACATCTTCATAAGCCAATCCCTTGACAAGATTAATATTTATTTAAATAAACTGTCCCAACCCCACCCCCCTCCAACCCCCACCGACTCCCAAAATAACCAGCCTCTGAGCTGGTAGGTTCCATAAACTGTGTAGTCCTAGAGGTTGGGTGTTCTCTTATGTGGTTGATGATGGTAGTGGTAGATGGTGTAGAGTTTGAAAGGATTCTCCATCTGTGCAATCACTTTCCATACACACTCTCATCACTGTAAGCCACATACAGGAAGAAATCCTCCTCATGGTTATCCTGGAAGACAACAGAAAATAAGTTGTAAGGTTCAATGGCAAGAGAGCGTTTTCTGGTACACAAATTAACCCCTTAAGGACACATGACATGTGTGACATGTCATGATTCCCTTTTATTCCAGAAGTTTGGTCATTAATGGGTTAAAGGGACTCTCCAGAGCCAGGAAAACAAATCCGTTTTCCTGGCACTGCAGAATGCCCCTCTCCCTCCCATGCTGCTGAAGGAGTTAAAACCCCTTCAAGTGACTTACCTGAATCCAGCGCTGATGTCCTTCAGTGCTGGGTCAGGCTCCACTCACGCTCCTCCCCTGTCGACGGGGAGACCTAATGGGCATGTGCGGCAATGGCCGCTCTAGTGCTCGCGCATTAGACTTCCCCATAGGAAAGCATTATACAATGCTTTCCTATGAGGATTCCAGCGACGCTGGAGGTCCTGATGCATAGCGTGAGGATGTCCAGCGTAGTTTAAAACTTTTTGTGTTTTAAAAATACGGAAGTCGCACTGGCTGTCTAGAGGAGGACTTAATCCTGCAAGGTAATTATTGCAGTTTACAAAAACTGCAATAATTACACTTGCAGGGTTAAGGGTGATGGGAGTTGGCACTCAGACCACTCTAATGGACAGAAGTGGTCTGGGTGCCTGGAGTGTCCCTTTAAGAATAATCAGCAGCATGACAGTTATTCTTCATCAATCTAGACATTGGCAGTCTGTCACCAACAGCTGGGGAGTAAAAGGTTAATTTGCTTCTAAATAAAGAACACCTAATGCATGTGTGTTCGAAATTGAAAACTGAATGGAAGAATATTAATTTCCCAGATCAGTGCAGGTATAGGAATTGAAAAAGGGATTTACACACACGTAAAGTAGTTTAAAAGGATTTTTGTTTTATATATATATATATAAATAAATAAATAATTATTTATTTTTTAAATTAAGTTGTCTTTCTTTGAATGAAAGCCGCTAGCTGAACTATAGCTCTATAATTGCTATGTTTACCTACAACATATACAAAACTGTGTTACTGAGGGAATACTGTCAATTGGAAGATAGAGAAAAAAGGATTGGTTATGAAGCTCTGACATTAGGTGTTACAATACAAACAAAAAAAACAAACAAACAACACACCTAAAACTTGTGTTGGTACCTGGAGTATGCTTTTAACATTCTAGGAATGCAGTAATGTTTACGTTAAAGGAAATGGATACTTGCACAGTCATCCTTACC